TTGGGGCCAGCAACACAAGATACCTTACTGGTTCTCCTCTCTACCATTGACGAATCTTGACAAGGGAACCGTGACCAATACCATAAGGATGTAGGGCTCTCAAGTTTCTCCACGGTGACGTAATCAGCATTCACTCCTTGAACCTTATCCGCTCTCACCAACTGATTTATAATATAGACCTGATAGTTCACCAATATTTCATTTGTTGGATGTTCCCACCCTTGAAATATTTCTTCAGGGAAATAATCAACCTTATCGGAGAACTTCACCTTCCCTTTAACTTTAATAGGATCCACAGGTCCCACGTTGGTCTGGATATAAGTTCCTTCAGAGGTGACGTGAATAGATGTCTTCAATTTTGCCAATGTTGGACATCCTAGTAACAGCGGGACAGTTAAACAGTCATCAGTGACTATAAACTGATCCTTAATAGAAATATCAGGTGTAGTAATACGTAACATAACCGCACCATATATCCTCAACTTACCACCATCTGCCACGACAATGGGAGGGGTAACCGTAGTATCGATAGCACCATCCATACCAAGCCTCTCTAATGTAGATATAGTGACTAGCGATAATTCGGCTCCTGTGTCGAAGAGCGCGGTAATAGTCTCTCCTTCAATCTCAACATCCCCTATAACCATAGCCATTTTCTCCTTACAAGATAGATTAAGGTGATACCGTTCTTCTAAACCCTGTAGACCACCAGAAAGTGTAAATATCCTGAATGGAGAATAAGTAGCACAATGCACCTTCGCCTTATCTGGGCGATTAGTTCTCATAGGGGATGGACTCCTTGAAGACGTCAGACCTTTGATTCTCCCTCTACACACATAGGCCAAATGACCAGCCAAACCGCATCTGGCACACGTAGCCCTCTCAACTTGGATCTTGCAGTCATCCAATCTATGCCCTGGGCTCCCGCACCTTAGACACCTCTCATCTAAATCCCTGGGTTCTTCAGCTGTGCACCTTTTTGCAGAATGACCTTTACCCAAGCAGCGATAGCACTTGAACTCGGCCTTATCTTGCCCCATGGCAAAGACGTGACACCTTCGCATACTGCTTGCCGAATCTTCACTATCGGATGCATGTAGAAGTGCTTGTACAAACTTCGATCCTTTTCGGTCATGACTAGGACTCCTAAACCGCTTTCTCTCTTCAGGTTCATAACCATTTCCCATAGCGTAGTCTTCATCAATCATCTTCGCTATTTGGTACATACGCCGATGCTTGGTGAGAACCTTCTCGCGGAACCGTTGATAGCTCACCTTAGGGTCTGATACATAATCATCCAACTTGATTCGCAATTCCTTATCCGCTAAACCCGTATATAGCCTCCACTTTAGCATATACTCCAAGGGTGGAGCACCCAAATGATATAGCTCAGTAGATAGCCTCTCGAGTCGCTTAGCAAACCGATGAACCGAATCCTTACCTTGCGTACATAACTGGAAAGCCCTATTGGCACGCTGTAAGTGCTCGTCGGTATCATATATCTTCCTAAACCTTCTGCAGACCCTTTCCAAATGATAGGCGAATGACTTATAGCATCTGTGCGGGGGACTATCTCTATCAGTAACCTTACCCCACACATCCATATCCGTGTGGTGTTTCAGCCACAAATATTGAACCACTTCAGAATGACCTTCAGTAGTTCGTTCCATTTCTTCGATCCATGTCGTACCAGACCGTATATCTTCTCCGCCATTATACCTTCTTGCTGGCCTAAGCTTCATAGCCATCTGCTCGGCCGAGTCGTACTCCTTGTAGTGGATCTTGGTCCGACACTCTCTTGTGGCACAGACATCACACTTCCGAGAGGATCGTACAACCCTACGTACTGGATGGAAGTGTCCACCGCCTGTTAGGCGATGCTTCACCCCATAATCACTATCCTCCGAACTCGAACGATCTACTCGATTGCTCGATCTCGGTCTCTTACCCTTACTATCCGAGCTCGAATCCGAGGATGTCGGGTCGCTCGAAGGGGATCTTCTCCTCCTACTTCTCCTTCCACCATACTTATCCCTTCTCGATCTATCACTCCCACTTCCAGAGCTCCCATCATAAGGGTTGTATCGCTTTCCACTCTCTCCATATCTCCTCTTATCATTTGCAGTATCCCTCTTATTCTCATCGTTCACCTTATCTTCTTCATACTCTTCCTTTCTCTCCTGCTTATTGTCAGAGGCGTTATGGAGTCTCTGTTGCCCGCGTTGATCATCGTTGCCGTCCTCGGGGTAATCCTTATTGGTAACCCTATCAACACGTTGATCTTGAGTTAATTCACCGTCTTCCTGAGCGTCCCCAGGTTGATCGGTTGTAGTTGACAAGAATGGCTCATGGGGGCCTTGGCCGTCCTTGTCTTCTACTTGAATACCTGAACACTGAGAAGACCGATACTTATCGATCACCTGAGGTGAACAGATAAATGGGGAGGAAATCATCCCCTTAGTCGATTCCGGCTCAAAGCCGTATTTACCTTTTTCCGCTTGCAAAATAGTAGTTGAATTAGACGAACTGGAGGACGAACCTCTAGTCCCTTTGGTTACAGTATGACATAGTAGTGGTCGTAGTTGAACTCCTGACTGCATAACCGTATAGTCATCTTCCCTACGACTTGTCTTGTCAACAACCTCTCCGTAACCATCCTCACGAGAAAGTCCTTCTACACCATATGGGGGGTGGTCGGCATTAACAGATACTCGAGTACCCGCTTGTCCATCAATCTCCGAGGCACGACCGTCGATCATAGAATAATCGCTCAGAGAAGAGCATGTGGAACCGTAACCTTTGAACCCTTCAAACTTCGGGCAGGCTACCGCCCCAACCAATACTCGAGCACCCTTCGCTTGTTCATCACGCAAGCATACTAGGTTTGGTACATTGTCATCGCTTTCAACAAGGCTACGCCCGCAGGCGTCATCGGCGGGTTTGACGAGGCAGGGACGCACCGACCAATGGCTCCCATCTAATAACGACAACCTCGGACCTGTTCCAAGTGCATAGGCTGGGAAACTACCTAGCATCTGTACCCTAACTAGCCTTCCAGTGGGCGTGACATCATCGCAGATGGCATCGAGAGGATGCCCGTTTCCACTAGGAGAACCCTCACAGGCGTGATCTAGAATGCACTGTGAAGACCCTAAGGAGTTGGGGAACTTGGCGGGCACGCAGCCAAACTCCTGGTGTGCTCGGGGGTACTGACCTTGTCCATCTGACCGTACCCTGGACCTATGGCTCCTTGCCCAACGCCCGGTCCACATAACTCGGATCAACGGGACGATACAGGCGCTAGCGTCCTCTTCCAAACTACGGAGGGGAACGCCCTGAGTTACAAGGGCGCGAGATGTGGTGATATCTACCACCCTTGATGAATCTTCTTGTAGCTCACCACAACTATCCGACCTTACTGTGACCTTATAGGGCGCCTCAATGACCTTATCAGCCCCAAGTTGGGCCAGTTTGTATGCCATAAACGCCAAGCCACGTAACCATTCACAGGAATCCCTTGGTAGCCCCATATCTACCCTTGGATACCATACCTTCGGTAGCCTCGCATTAACCACCATGGGGATGAACCCATGCTGTCGCCCTTGCTCCTCTGGACCATCAATGATGTCATTTATATCACCAATAGGTTGGGGGGGCTCCACTTCGGAACTTGCCAATAAACCGAGCGGCCTTAGAGCCTCCTCCAAGTCAGTGCGGTTGTTAGATACATTCTTCTTGATACCATCATACCCCAAGCTCCGATCCAACAAGATATCGGTCGATGTAACCCTTCTCACAGACCTTATATCACCAGTAACCGTAGATCTGTAGTCGGGAAGAATCCCGGTAGAATACGCGCAGCGGTGGTCCTCCCTATGAGGACTCGGGTAACTAGTGGGAGTAACCGAGGTACCATGGGTTGACTCCCTTTCTGCACACTGCGCATGAGAAGCATGACTCGTCTTTTCCTTAACACGTCTACGACGTACCTTGACTATAACATCAGTGTCACGATTACGTGGCACTTCGGTAGTCTTTCCTGAACGTGTAACAACCATTCCGAACTCAGATAACTCAAAGCTAGACTCCGTTAATATATATCGACAATCCGTAGCGACAACCTTAGTCCTCAGATGACTCAAAAACCCTAAACCCATAAGGGTTCGCAAAACCATAGCGAATGATCCAGTGCCCAATAGAGTGCAATCAATGGCCGCAAAACTATAGCAACACAATGAAGACCCTATTATCCATATCCTCCTCATATAGATATGGATCCCTATGTAAGCTAGTATAAGTCAGTAACTAGTAAAAGCCTTGTATAGAACTTATACCGGACTCAACTTAGCCTAACTTAACTTATAAAAGCCCGTACGTAAACACACAGCAGCGTGAAAGCAGCACGCATGTACATAAAGTAGCGCTCGCCTATGACCAGCATCACAGAATCCTTAGTGTCATACCTCGCGCCGTACGGACGCGCGCATTGAACCGGGGTTGTCACGGCCACAACGTGACGTCCTAACCACTAGACGATACCGACTGTACACATTATATAGACAAGGCAGATTTATGGCAGATATTATCTGCCAGATAATACATACTATATGCTATCCAGTTGATGTTTGTTCCTTGCTCAGTGACATTGGCGCCAATAGGCGAAGATGGAAAGTCTCGCCAGAGGCTAGGGTCAACTCCAGAGGAAGTGATTCGATGGGCGAGCGAGCTTGGTCGCTCGCAGGTGCTTTAATAATCCGAGGATTCCGAAGGAAAGTTATTAGTAACTGACAGTTCTTTTAGTGGACTGGGTGACGGGACAGACCCGTGTGAGACGTGAGTCGTTGATACGACACCACCTAGTCGGGCAACTGTCCCGTGACCGAAGCTTCAGGGGGGAGCCCTGCAAGTCTTCGGTCCTCTCCACACCACCTAGTCGACTAACTCTATCAAAGTTCCCCTGGTTAAGTGTACATAGTTAGAGGATCACCGGAGCCATAGGCGAAGACGTAGCCGATTTCATGAGCTCATCATGGAAGATACGGGGTAATATCAAAGCTGCGTGTAGATCGCTGAAAAGCCTCGCGAATTAACAGTCACTACCCGGATTTGAACCGGGGTTGTCACGGCCACAACGTGACGTCCTAACCACTAGACGATAGCGACTGTGCATACTATTTAGACAAGGCAGATTTATGGCAGATAATACATACTATATGCTATCCAGTTGATGCTTGTTCCTTGCTCGGTGACATTGGCGCCAATAGGCGAAGACGTAGCCGATTTCATCAGCTAATCATGGTAGATACGGGGTAATATCAAAGCTGCGTGTAGATCGCTGAAAAGCCTCGAATATTAATAGTCACTACCCGGATTTGAACCGGGGTTGTCACGGCCACAACGTGACGTCCTAACCACTAGACGATAGCGACTGTGTACATTATATAGACAAGGCAGATTTATGGCAGATAATACATACTATATGCTATCCAGTTGATGCTTGTTCCTTGCTCAGTGACATTGGCGCCAATAGGCGAAGGCGTAGCCGATTTCATCAGCTCATCATGGTAGATACGGGGTAATATCAAGGATACGTGTATATTGCTGAAAGCCCTCGCAAACGAGTCATCATAAATTGATCCAGGATTGTCACGGTCACAAGGTGACATCCTAGCTACTAGACGCCAGCGACTACATTCATCCAACTTATTTGGTTAAAGCAATTTGCACGCTAATGAATTAACCATGGATATTGGCCTCGTCCATGTAGTCACCCTCATTGTGCTGTCGACGGCGTGGATCTCAAATCATCTAGAATAGCTCAATTCGAGACCGACATTTCCTGTCGCGCGCCGCGCGGGCCTCATTGAATATTTACGACGGTATCGGCTGATTAGGCGATGTCGGTGGGCAAAGAAGCCCGGGGAGTGACTACTCAATTACGAGCTTTGCCAACATTCTATTTGAATTGTTGCTTTGTTTATGACAAGTGAACTGAACAGGCTACCTCTTCCTCTCATCACGGGATATACTCCGAGATGTCTAACTGAGTCCAACTACCGAAGAGAAGGTGAAAGAAATGCAATTCCCACGCCCGACCCAGTCGCCATACAAGCAATCATTCATTCCCCCCAGAGATGGACAAAATCCCCTGTTTTCACAGCCCTAGGAGGCTTCCTAGTGAATAACACAAACTGTCCAGACATCAACAGGAAAACTTGAGCAGACAATTGAGTTCACGAAATTTGCTCAGTGGGTCTTCATAGCGTCCAAGACGGCCTCGCATAATTCTGCCTTTTCAACACAGTTAGCGCCCTACAGCAAACTTGGTCACGTTGGAGCTAGAATAGATAACGTCCTACTTTAGTAGAGTCCACATTGAACAGCCGCAAAGCATGCTTCAGTTGCTTAACGGGCAGACCTCCGACAAGTTCATCATCCGTTTCTGAGAAAACATTCCCTCCTGGTACCGACAGAGCTCGATTCCACTCACTCTCTCGGCAGCCGAGTTTAGCTTTCAATTTCAGCCACAATGCAATGTCGTCGATCTCATTCTCGCGGGCCGAATGCTCCATGCCGGGATACCTAAGCATTGAGTGGTCGGCAAGGAATCGTTGCAAGAGCCGTACCAAACTAGAGTGAGATTCTTTGCGCCGAGTTCACGAAGATGGTCTATAGTCTCCTGAGCATACTTAGGAAGGATAACTGGATCGCTGGTACCGTGGCATTGGATGACAGGAGTATCAACAGCATCAGACGCTAGCCGGAACCTGAAGAGGTCGTCAACAGAGTGCTAACGGACTATGCTCACTCATCAGGTCGAAGAACACAGCCACTCATTGAGACAACACCACCGTAGCCACCCTGCTGCAGTCCAACCCAATAGGACATCGTGCCGCCTTGAGAGAATCCCGACAACACCTAAGAAGTATATCACCAACTTCAACACGCTTAAATGTCGCTACTATGTCCTTCTTATCGATACCGGACTCCTCCATCTCCTTCTTTACCATAGCCTCTATCCTAGCAGCAGACTTCTCTATACCACGCGCCTTGCTATTCTCCTTGCTTGCGTCTGCCCCCAGGGCTTCAATGTCATACCTTGTAGACCAATGTTGCGCATGCGTGCATTGAGATGTGCTCACCAAGAGGGCATTGGAGCACCGTAGTTGAGCGTAACCGGCATCGACTCAGCCGTGGGGAGGATGAAGCGAGTAGTAGGGAAACTCTTAGACCAGTAATGAGCTACATCGAGCCAGCCATTCGCAGTGTCACCGAGGCCGTGAATAAGGAACACTGCGCCTAAGTTGAGGAAGAGATGGTATGGGCAATGATCGCATCAGCCTACTATCAACTCGTCCTTCTTTGGGACTGAGAACCAATACTTTGCCGTTTTCTCGACTGCTAACATTATGCGACATCCTACTTGAATACGACCGACTGTGGGAGAGTATCGAGGGAAATGAAGGTCTCAATAGCCTGCCAAACAGTGGGAGGCTACTCTGATGTAAAACTGACATAAGTCCTGCCAACCAGGACGTATCTTTGCCCAGCTGGAAGCCTTCAAAATCGTTTTCAAAGCTACTCTGTCTAATTCAACACGCTCATTGAATGAAAACGAAAGAAACATGTTTCACAGCGAACTAGGGGTAAGAGCTGCTATAAGACTCCTCCGTAGCGCACCCATATCCTGCAAAAAGCACACTGTGGTCTGCATTGGGTGTTATGGTAGGCTTACATGAACATCACCTCTTACACGGAATATAGCGGCGGCGTCATGGAGTTCCCGCACTGTCAATGATTCCAAAACCTCACTTGTAGATCCTGAGAGATGATTGAGTGCCGCTCTCCGATAGAACGAAATTGGAAGGTAACGGAGGAAGGCGGCAGCACAATTCAAGAGAGTAGACCTCAAAAGGTTAGCGGATCAAAGCAATCGTGGGAATACTATGTACTATTGCGTGAATATGGAATGGATAAATGGAAGGTGCCGTCACCAGGGATCGAACCGGGAACCAGACATCTCACGTCCTCGCAAGCCAAGCTTAGCTTTGAGTTTCAACCACACAGCGATGTGTCGGATCTCGTCTCCGCAAACCGAATGTTGCATGCCAGGATATCTGAAGGTTCACGCTTCCAAGATACGGAATAGGTAGGAATGATGACATCATCAAAGTAACATCATCAAGGCCAGCTTGCTGTAGATGATTTAGAGTAGCAACAGCTGTGTTCGAGTTGACCATCATGTCCGAGTCACCATGACAATGTATGACTGGGGTTGACTTCCTTGCCGAAGGAGAAAGATTGAAACTGAAAACACACACTCCAGTAACAAGATAAGATATCATATTATCAGCCATATTGCGCGCGGCGAAGATTTCTCATCACGCAATTTCATTGGAGTAACTCGATGTAAGTAGCTCAGCTACCGAAACATCGCACAGCGAAGATTCCAAGATAAGATACGCTCAGGAGTATCTTTGCAAACAACCAACCTGTGGGCCCTTGGTAGGTATCCACTCATCGCAACCACACCAGCATAACCCTCATCGTCCTGCAGGCCGACCCAATAGGACATCGCCGCACCTTGTGAGAATCCAGCCAGTACCTACATGAACCTAATTCGTATCTTGCCAATGTGAGGTAAATATACTCCCTACAATATCTTTCTTTTCCACGCCTGTCTCTGCCATCTGCTCTGATATGATCTGTTGGATTCTCGCTGCCGACTCTTCAATCCCTTCCACGCTGGCTTCCAGTTTAGATGATGAATCCACCGTTCGAATGTCATACCTTGTGCATGCGTGCATACCCACTCTTAACGCGACTTACCCTACCAAGAAGGCATCGGAGCGCCCATATTGACGGTAACTGGCTGAACCTTCGCGGTGGGTAAAATGAATCGGGTCGATGGGAACTGCCGAGACCAGATACGCGCGGCATTCTCCCATCCTTGTGCTGTGTCTCCAAGACCATGTATGACTACCATCAGACCTGATCCGTATCTTACGTTGACGAGGTTAAGATACTGAACATACTATTGATGTGGCCGTCCTTTGGGCTCAATAGAATCGTTGTACCGTTTTCTCGAGTCTCAGTTGAATGGGACATCGTCCACAAAGTACGTCTGCTGCGAATGCTCGAGAAGCTTCTTGTGAAACTACTCGCCGCGAGGTATCCAGAAGCCAACCGTGGAAGATACGGAACAGCTCCAGTGAGTGCCCGTGAACTCAGACTCATAGACCACAAATGAATATGCTTATCACACGCTTTCCTAGTATGAAAGAATTACCCTTGATCGGCCTACCAGAATCGGGCAGATGTACCTTAGCGCAGCCGAAAGATTCACAGCCCTTCCTCTGAAGCTACCCCGTAGAACTCAACACGTGCAACTGACTGAAACATAAAAACCATGGTTCATGTCAATTGAAAATTGTTTGATTATTTTTCATCAATAATCTATTAGTTGTCCCGAGAAGATGTTATATTATGTCAAAAAGATACACCAAATGAATTAACAGCAATATCCTAAAAGTACATACCAGTACTGCGATACCACTCCATTCGGAATGCTCCTCCCTTTTCACTTTGTCTTAGTCTATAGAAACAGGGAACAGATCGGCAATGCCTTGGGGCTCGTTCATCGTCGAGTTGTTGCAGTTTCCTAGTCTGAACTGTTCCAACGTGACCATCAGTCCAGCAACTCTTGGAAGCCATGAGACAATAAATTTTCATTAGGTCAATTTGCAGACATCGATATTCAACAGCCACGGTCATTGACAGTGATGACCTCATCCAAATCACCTTGACAATGCAGCAGATACGGAAAAAGTGATAACATACGCGCTGTGGGACATAACGAAGACACTGGTGGAATATCCGAAAGTTAACCATGAAAGATACGGAATAGGTTCAGTGAGTGCCTATGAACTCAAGAGCACAGACGAGCAATGAATGTATTTAGTATACGCATGATAATTATTGGCATTTATGAATTTATCAGCATTTCGTGGGCTCCAAAAAGATCGGAGACCAGTGGCTCGTTTGTGAAGGCTTGCAGACACCCCGACATGACATCACCAATACCTGAATCAAACGCCGCTGCCAGGCATCAAACCCGAGACCTCAGCCGACTTCCATGAAAGCTTTCACTGGATGCTCTCGTACGAGACCTTGAAAAGTGGGCGTCGGTTCGTTCTGACAAAATATGTCCACAATTTATCGAATCTTAACCACATCTAAACAGTCGCGCTCGCCAAATAATACCTCCTTAGCCCAGAAAACTTCCAATGCGTTCCGCAAGGCAGATGGTCGAGAGAACCCGCGACTCTGAAGGTCCACCAAAGACATCCATAATTTCGTGGCGCGCGAGAAATTGAGACCAACTCACCGATGCCGTCCACGCTGATGCCGGGGAAGCGCTTCGCTGGGAAGGAGTCGGCGCACCCTCGGGACTCCAAACCATATCGAGAGTATCACACATGCCAATATCAGAGAATGGCGTCCCTATTTCTTGTATGCCCGGTGGTAAATCTTGCTCATCTTGCATTTCCTCAACGCAGCTGACTCTTCTATCCGGCGTGAAGGGCGGCATGAAGCTCACCTAGAAACCTTCTTCAGTCCATGAGCGTTACAGACCTACTGTGTCCATCACCTCACTGACAGACCCAACTCCAATAGGACTGAATGTATGACCCAGTTCTTGACTTGCTATAGGCATGATAACACTCCCTTGGTCCTCGTCCTCCTCATGCATTTCATCAATGCTCCGTAACCTGGTGGCTATAAAACCCACAACATCATCCGGTGTTAAATCAGGCATCCCTCCATTTCGTTTCCGATGACTTCTTTTCTGTCGAGTTGGAAGCAGTGAAATTCCACCAATATCGGCGCCTGCAAAAAACCACAAACAGTAAACATGAATTGCTTCGCTCCGTCCAACACTCACCTTTATTTCGATCAGCTCTCGTATTGCCGATGGTCACCCGTCTTCGGCGTCTAGAAGCTACTCGGGCCACCACCTGCCGAGTCGTCGGTGGAGCAGCGGTAGAGAGCAGTCTAAATCGCGGGAATAATACCATCACACGGGATCGAACCAGCGCCTTCCCTACCCTCGAAACTCCCAGCCATCATCACCGCCATTACCGATTGGAGTTGCCGCCGCCGATGAGATAAAGGACTGCAATCGCCAGCAGAATAATTTCGTGGCGCGCGGTAAATCTTTCCTACATCTTGGACGCCATCATCCAGCATAGTATCAAAGACCCCTCTATCTGATGAGCTGCTTCTCCTCCCCCTCTTCTGTCCCGAATGAGGACCTTCCGAATGGCCCCCACCCATCGAGAAAGCACTCGAAGGGCGACCCTGTGACAGTTCTAAAATGAGGGTAGTGCTCCCAACAGCTTAGAGGGTATCCAACCTCGGAGCCGATCTATTCTCATAGCACTATCATCATGGTCATCAACGGCAAGGTTGACTGATCGTATTGGGGATTCCATCGTCTACAAGGAAGAAGGTGAATTCAAGAGGCGTAGAGGAAAGAGAAGAGCCTCCATAAATGAGTTGGCGTTCCGACACTCCAGAAGTTATGGTTGAAGAATTCCGAGAGTACAAAGTTGCTCCCACCATCACCACTAGTGGTATTACGATCCACCACACGGTCGCTCCGACTTACCCCTCTTCGAGCACTGCCCATGGCGACTGCTATGAAGTCATCCAAAGGCGTGTTAGCATGCGAGAAGGGTGACACGCCTCTACAACCAACGATGAGGTATCACCATGTGCTGGTGTACTTACCTCGAAGATGGGGTCATGTGCTCCATTATAGCCTTCAGAGCTGGTGACAATAAGTGGGCATTCTGAAGGTCCCCGGTTCAATCCCTGGCTACAGCATCACACTACCTCTCGTAATGCATCAATAGTCTCCGCTTCAGACCAACCATCCGCTTCCTCCGATATAGCTGGTAACGACTCTGCCGGAGGTCCACCACCCCTGAAAACACTCTCATCACAGCTCCGACCGCAGCGTGAAGATTCGGAATATGAATTGCATGTAATCAGACATGACAGGCTCAGAGTGAATACCTCCCTCTCTTTTTTGATGACTTCCCACGAGCTCCTCCACCAGCTGCCCAAGTAGCAGATGCTGGATTCCGAAGCATCTTCCCAATGAGGCCCTGGGCCATGCTCTCCACCACTTCCACTTTCATCATGTGGAGACGGGAGAGACCCAAAAGGAGGGGACCAGATACTCTGATAAATGAAAGCAGCTACCCGGCGAGATCTGACAGCGGAAAATACGAAATAGGTCAAATAGCAGAAGACGCAGGAAAGGTTGGAAGGTGGAAGATACGGATGATATCGGAGAGTGAACGATATAGTGGCAGTTAAACACTCCTCAACAGCCACTTATAGTATTCAAGAGGACCTCAAATAAGGTTCCCTCAATGGGATGACGATAACAACTGAAGACTACCGAATATACACCGAAAAAAAACAATACTATAGTAAGTAGAAGATCCCGTATCTCCTTAACTACTACTTCAGCTCACTTGACATCACTACCCTCGCTGCCTCACTGAGCTTAACATCAAGGGCAGCCTCTTTACTGAGGCCTTTCAGAGCATATGCTAACCGCCATAATACTACTAAGGGAGAGGGATCTGACCAGAGAGGAGATGTCGCAACTAGAGTAGACAGTAATGCACTGTCACTATACATGGAGGGATTAACTACACCATACAGTAGGAGTTATATTATCATCAGACCACCACTACAGAGTGCTGCATACCACTATGACTGCAACCCTTCCCCCCTACTACCATCCACCCCTCTCCTTTGTCTCGGAGTCCTACCAACTGCTGAGCCAGGCATATACGGATATTATCCTACCACTTCTAACAGACTTCACAACACACTACACAAAAGGATACCGAGAAACTCGAGTAATGGCAGCAATCATCGACATAGTAGTAAAGGGAGACAACATTGTCACCCAAGTACTATACAATAGGTCATTACTGGTACTAGCAATATCATTGAGCACATATATGGACCTCATCCCAAGATATAAAAAGTATAATAAAGTCACAGTAAGAGCAGATACTGGGAACTTAGGCAAGAATGACGATTTAGTAGTAATAGTAGCTATCGTACTCAATGATGACGAGTATTATGATAACGGTAGTAGTAAGGAACAGGAAGTCCTAACAATAAAAGCCTTAAAGCAGCAGCATTAGATCCACCGTCATCATCACCACCATGGGCACTGCAACTATAAATATGATAATACTACTACTATGCTGTTCATGAACGTTGAAGATCTTATGACCGGGAAAAACAACCACGGGAGATAAGAAGATGAACGACTCATGTCATAGTAGTAGCAAAGTTAATAGAAAATTACGACGGTTGTTGATAGTAGTAGTGATGATCCGAATACCCCATGTTCCATGAGGAAGAAATAATCATCATAGCAACCGAAACCATAAAGCTTATTGCGCATTATTATTAGACTAAGGCTGCTGCCTCTGATAATGCAGCAATCGAGGAAGAGCATAACGATAGAGACACCTTATAAAAGGAGAAGAGGAGGAGGAGGGCACATCAATAATCTCTAGTACATGATCATCGACTCCCACAATGTAATCACCATAGAGCTCTGTTACTAGGTACCGGCTCCAAAGAACTTGTCGTGAATCGTCTACTAGTACTACTGCTGAAAGTAGTATCAGGTGTGGTATCAAAACCCGTCGAATATGCTCTTGTAGGAGCTACCAAATGACCTCCTTTCTCCTTTCCCAAAAGGTCAATCTCTGCCATAGCCATAGATCCACTCCTAAGCTCACGCATGAATGCTGGCAAGTCCTCATCATCATCCTTGATGCCTATCATGTTGTTGTTGTTACCAGATGCTGGAGAACTCATTGGACTCGTACCCGATGATATCGTACTTGTCTCCGACAATGAGTAAGACTCCCCACCAGTAGAATGCTTATGCTTCCTTTCAAAGACCTGCACCTCGCAGGAATGACCACATATAGTATGCTGGGGAGTAGCCAAAATTCTAGTGACAACCTCTGGATCCTCCATCACCACAAAGCCGACACTCGGTGGCCTCACTCGGACGTTCTTGTCGTTACTCATATCACCACTAGAGCAAGAGGAGGTCGTTCGAGCTTGTCGATGCAATACCAGGATATTAGTAACCTGTCCCCATAATGAGAAATACTCTCTCAGCTTAGGAGGGGACTCGAAGCCCAGCTTTTGAATCTTACGCACTGTGAAGACTCTCTTCTCATCAATGTTACTCAATGATCTCAATACATGCCACAAGGGCACACCATGGTCAGGGAAGGTAGTCTCGGTAATCGTAGGGGATGCCGAAGGCTGCTGCTGATTTGAACCACCAGTGACGACCGAACGATAGCTGGGCTTGGACGGACCCTCCATAGGAGCAGCAACAACAGGTACATTAGAGTCTGTTATGAATGATGATGCTGATACTGTAGGTAAAGTAGATGGCATGTTAGTAGTAGACATACCACTAAGGGTGGCCAAGAGAGTGTTGGAGGCAGCAAGACGATCTGCCAGGCTATCTACTTGAGTAGTAAGAGTACGATTCCTCTCACGCTCAACATCAACCTCGTCTTCCAAGCGTTGGATCACAGACCATAATCGAAGAAGTAGATCAGAGGATGGTGGTACGCCTCCAACAGCATATGGTTGCTGATGGGAGCGGCCACCTAGAGATGATAGTTGGGCTACCGGGGCTGGGACATTTGTCCTTTGCTGTGTGTAAGAAATGGCCATTGAATGGCAATGAACAATAAAGAAACTGACGACAATCACAATACACGAATCCTCACTAAGAGTACCCGAAGGGAATAGACTAGACTTTGCATGAGACAAAAGAAGAGGATATCATTAATATCTATGATACGCTAGCGCTAGCTGAGATATCTTGGCCGGCAGCAGCAGCAGAGCTGTCCCTCTTGTGAAGGGATGAGGTAACTTATCTGATCGACAAGTTCACTTCTGAGTCCTTCCACTCGCATTAATGTGGTTAACAAAGAATACTAGTCGTCGTAGATCTCGTAATATCTCCCGCTAAAGAGAGTACCCTGCCTAAGCTAAGTCCTGTTGTGCAACAGTCAGTGGTAGGCTAGATGAGGATGCTTTCACTCTAGTGCGACGAACGAGGAGGTAGACGAAGTTTTACCCTCAACGAATGATGGGATAAATTTCGACTAAGAGGTAAGGAAGGACAAAAGTCTATGATGTTGCTGCGTGAGGTCGCCGTTGACTATTTTCGTGACACGCGCGATTATTTGTGGCGCGTGACGGTTGATACGGTAACCGTGTACTCCATTGCTCGAGTCGTGAGCCTATTTCATACCATTACAGTTGAATAATAATTTAATAATGGGTGCTGCTACTTCAACTCCGCTATCAGAGGCTAGGGCAGCCTCTGATTCTTGTAATAGATTCGTATGGACTTTAGAATTTGTGCACGTTTTGGTAAAGATATGTGATAACACACAACCCTTCTTCGGTTTGATATGAGTACATCCTCTTCCATCGCCTTATGCATAGAACAACACATGTATCGTCATTGTAGTGCTATCCTCAGTGCCCACCAATTCTTGTATTGCCATAGTAGCTGGAGCTACAGGGGCGACTGGTCGTTGGGTCGTCAGTGAGTTACTCAACTCGGATGTCGTTACTAAGGTAGGGTTGACCTATCGTCGTGCAGAGTGTCGTGGCATGTAGTAGGATAGCAGTTGGAGTATGGATCAATAAGGCTTATCTTAATCTTTTGTCAGGTCGTGGCAGTGACTAGGAAGGATATTTCTGATACAAAAAGCGTATTTCAAGGAGTCCAATCTGATGAAGGATATTCTAAACTCATTGTAGCTCCAGCTGACTGGAAGAAAATGGCTGAGCAACCCGAGGATGCGACCCTCCCTGAGCGTGCTGTAGAAACAGTAAGTTCGACATATATTGTGATATCGTCCTATGCAAGTTCAACCTCGAGAGTCCTGAGTGGTCCTCAGATAAAGTCAGCCGGTGATGGTAAGGGTTGTATCGCCTTCTGTTGTCTTGGATCGGCACCATACACTGAGGAATCAGACTTTCTAGCCCCCTCAGCATTTGCGCATGCGTGCAAGAAGGCTGATGGAAATGTTGGGATGTCACTGGTAATGATACTGGGGTATACGTACCAAGTCTCCATAGACACGATCATAAGCATTCCGACTGTTGCATCGACGGTTTCTGGTTCTTTCAATTTTCACTAGAGATCTCATAACACCGTGTGGGTCACTCTAGTTGCTGCTAGTTCGTAGTAATCTGCTTTCTTTGAGTTACAACATATGCAATCATGCAGGCTGTTTTGGGATGGCCATTCTCCTTATTGTAGATGTCCTCTGGTGGAGCCGACCCAAACTCGATGATAGGCTACTCGAAGACTATCGGTAGACGGGAGGAGGCATTCGAAGGTATGAAGTTTAAGTATTTGTCGATATTCCGACCGGCTATGCTCCTACGACAAGACAAGCAACGGATGAAGGAAAAGATTTTCCTACCTTTGGTGAGGCTTCTATTGGAGGGGATTGCGCCCGACTGTTATATGGAATATGACTTCTAGGTTGGCGTCTACTAGCGTATGATAGCAATAGTATATTAGTCTCAGAAGGAGAGAGGCGGTAGTGTTATATGCCTTCTTCAGACTCCTCCTAAGTACCGTGTTGATACCCGAGACGTGGCGAAGACGATGGTGTTTGATGCGACTCATACAAGGGATGATGGATCGGCTGAAAAGGCAACAGTATTTAGCAACGCCGATATACAGGCTACTGCTGAGGTAGCTGCACAGCAGTAGGTATTGTCATACCACACTTTTCACAACTTCCTAAATAGTCTACATCTTATTTGTTCGATGTCGTTGGATTGCGTTCGCCTAGTACCGTAATAGAGGAGTGGGCAGCACATAGTGGGACGGTAGTTTTTGATGCCTACTCTATCTCTTACGGATGTCCTCTCATCCGGAAGTGCCTAATTTCGTGGCGCGCGAAGTAAAACGGCCAAAGCCGCCGCCTCCACCTCCTAGGAAGAAGAAGCTCCCTGGAGTAACGAGTCGGTCATCGAAGAGTGATGGAGGAGAGGAGGACTCTGCTGAGGCTAATCCGGGTAGTCAGTCGTGAATGCATCTACACTGGGTTGGGGAATGCTTCCTAGAAGATCGGAATATTGTGGTATGAATAATGTGGGCATATTGGATGGGTTTGAGAGTAATGTGATGAAGAGTTGAATGAATTGCTTCATCGAGATTGATGTATGAACGTTAGTCCATAGTTGCAGATTTCAAAGCCCTATTGGAGGAGTTACGCTGCACCCAGTCTTTATCATCTCTAGTTAACGCTCCGACTGACATCGAAGTAAGATGCTTTTCAATTGGGCGTGGAAAGTATCTTTATTATTATCAGATACCACCCGAAGGAGGTGTAGGGAGCGACTCTTCAGTTGACCGATCCCTTGGTGGTAACCTGCTTGCTGTGTTGGGAGCCTCTGGTAAATCAGTAGCAAGCGGCCAGGCAGGGCAGGCTAGTAATACGTCTCCCTATTTGTCTCCTCATCATCTCGACTGTCATAGTGAAGTAGAAAAATCCTTATTTGTCGATGGTATGAATGTTATCTTCGTAAAGGTACTTTCCCTCGTGCGCGATCGGGACTATGATTAGGATGGCATGGGCATACGTTATTATGCTTCCTCCTCCTGTCAGGTCTCTACTCAGCGCCTACCCCTGTTGCGTACGCCTCTGCTGGTGGGACGCTGTCTGCCGAGTCCAGTCAGATGATCCGCCCTCTGCTGGACTTACCATCTTCAGAGGCCTTAGCGATGCTCCCACCGTTGGAACCTCCAGAAGGGATCAGTTTTGATCAGTAAATGACTAAGTTGTTGTAGACCTCTGGGAATACCGTTATTCAGATACTTGAGCACGCTTGCTCCGGGTTTTACGGGAGTTATGGCAGTTCATACGGGAGTAACTGCTGATGATGCTTCAGCCTCTGGCAACAGACCAAGGTCTGTTTCCTCCGCCTCTACCTCCTGTGAAGGCCGTTTAAAGGGCGTTCCTATGGTCTACTTCAATGAGGACTATAATGTTGCACAGTCCTCTGTCTTTGCGGGTAGGCTCTGGGAGAGGGCACATTCATCTATAAATTGGTATTAGCATCTACTCATTTGAAAGCTTCGTACCAGCAGCTGGGTTCGGCAACTACTCTGTGCTCGCCTCCAACGGTTATTGCTTGTCTCCTATGCTCATCATTGTAGCATCTGAGAGATTCCCCGATCTCAAGGCCTTGCTGTACTTGTTGATATTCAACCATCGTATGTTGTCATAGGGAGGTCGTTGCGGTCATTGGTCACCAAACAGGACGAGCTGAATACTCAACTGGCTCAGCAGTTGGACACAGTCGAGGTAGAGGAAGGTGCTCTTGCGTATTTCACCCTGCTTGTCGTCAGGTTCATCTCGCTTCGAAATTGAGTAATTTCGATCAATTGTTGGGATCCCTCAAGGACCTAGGCAGCATCCAAGCCGACATAGTCCAGGTAAACGGCCATTGAGAAGTGCTATAAGTCCTGATGCTAGCAATCAGGCACGATCGACTGTGGGGGCCTGTCGGGCCTCGGTAGGAGCCTTGCAGTCGAAATGCCTCCAGCCAGGGCTGCACTTGGCTAGGTCTTTGAGAAGGAGAGCGAGATTGGATAAGGTGAGGCTATGGGGGATCGCCGAATTATAGCATACGTTCTCGTTGGTGCGGTATCGTCAACATGGTGTTACCTGCGATGATGACCAACAACTCGTATTGTAGTTGTTGTTAACACGTACACGCACCGCGTTGTCGCTCAAGATCGGGATTGTATTCCCGAAATGGCTTGGAGGTAGTCTTCACCATATACAGATATGTCGACTTTTGATGGGCATGCGTACCGTAGAAGAAGTGTACACTAATCTCAATGGAGTCATACAGAATGGAGAGTTCATGGACGCTCTCGATCTAGTTGAGAAGGTAGTTGGGAGCCCCAAATAACTGCTGGGAATATAGCATCTGTGTTGTCTTGCAGTGCTGGGAGTCTCCTTCGTAGTAGTAGTAGTAGTAGTAGTAGTAGTAGTAATAGTAGTAGTAGTAGTAGTAGTAGTAGTAGTAGTAGTAGTAGTAGTAGTAGTAGTAGTAGTAGTAGTAGTAGTAGTAGTAGTAGTAGTAGTAGTAGTAGTAGTAGTAGTAGTAGTAGTAGTAGTAGTAGTAAGTAGTAGTAGTAGTAGTAGTAGTAGTAGTAGTAGTAGTAGTAGTAGTAGTAGTAGTAGTAGTAGTTAACGCTATTGTTATAAGTTGATTTTGTTTCTCATAAGGTACGTCGATTACTACAGGATGACTTGGGAGGAGTAGCAGCTGTACGGGGAATACGGAAGTCTCTGGATGATAATATCAAAGTGATCATAATCGATCACGTGATCGATTCGTGTACATCCTTCTGTTAGGTCATTGACCAGAATATCGAGTCAGAGTTCATTGATGTTTGCAGTGCTGGTGTTATAGTCGTTTTGGATTCCTCCAAGAGCACCGTGTCCGAAGCGCGGGATAACCTTGCCGCTCGATTAAAGCGAGAGCGAGTGTTGGAGGTTATGAACAGGTGAATGGTTTTGGGTGAAGAGGGAACTAAACCTGCCACTTTGGTCATCATCATCATTATTCTCTACTTGAACTGCTGCTCAGTTATCGTACATTTCTCATGATCAGGCGTCATCTCTTCTCCTTAACTATACAGACAGATCTGCGTGATAATTTGTTGACGAGGTCTCGACGGCTGATTAAGAAAATCGCGCAGTTGAGTTCAGCTAGACTCATCCAGGAGAGTACGATAGCCACCGTAATGTCAGTTGGATGTTGCATGTCCATCAGGTCAAGCTGCGGCTAATGGAGTCACAAGTTCTGAAGATGCTCGTGGTGGTGAAGGAGGGACCACTACGGATGGCGCAGTAAACCTGAGTATGTTATGATCATCACCCTATCGAGACGATGATGATTGGGTTGTCTTAGAGCCTCCTAGTGCCCATCGATCCACGACAGGACGGTTGGAGCGGGCCTTGGGCCGATTGAGTTCGGAGCAGTTGTTAACCCTTTGGAGTGAGCTCTTGGGTGCCGCAGTTGAAGTAGCCCGAGGTCTGCAGTGGTTGGATAATCAGCTCTACCAGTACTATACATCCGATGATGGTAAGGGTGAGGTAGTTGCCTGTTGGTGTAGAGGGAGTACTATCAGATGATATGCAGTCGGAGGAAAAGGAGGATCGCGGAGACTTGCGTGGACAAGTTGGGAGGGTTGCTGCTGCGGTGATGCAGGCAGTACTCGTTAGGTAGGAGATGGAGGCATTCTATGGATAATGGGTACAACGTTTTAGAGATATTTCTACAGCCAGCAGTTCCTACAATTTACGTATTCACTTGATTGTTCACTTGAGTGTTGTAGAATGTACATTGGTGAGCAATAAAGTTGAACATGTCCTTCCGACTGTAGACCGGTTGGCCTTCTCCATATGTCATAGGAAAGTCTGTGATCCGTTGCTGATGGGACCTACGACGCTTGTATACACAATTTGCCCATTAGGCGGTACAAATGATCATAATCACCACGGATGCCGTGTGCTCCTAGACTATGACTATGAAATAGTTATATGTGAAAACATATGATAATAGTTGAAAGAGTCCGATTATGAACGCTCATTGATGCCATTATCTGTGGCTAACGGGAGACCATGTCGTGTATTTAGATGTGGACAAGTCCTCCAGCTCCGGCAGAATAGGAATACTCTTATGTCTCTAGAGGAGCTGCGGAGGATGATCTCCATGTGGGTTCTGCTCTAGTCCCTACTCGTGGGTATTCCAACTCAGAACTACCATTGCCTTATCCGAGAAGATTGCACCTTGCTTCGATTCATGGAGCAACAAGCATGCTGAGGATGGTCATCAGAGCTCCACTGATGTCTCTGGTGTGCCTGGTGGAGCCAATTTGTCGGCTATCGTGTTGCAACAGGCCAAGCTTGCAGTGGAGGAAATTCACCAGGTAAAGCGTACAAAAAGTCGTACAATCATTGGGTCATTTCCGAATGCTCCGTGGATGGCTGCGCTACTGCTGTGATCACTTTTCTGTGATCTTTAGGCGAATGTAGCACAAGCGAATCTCCTCTTGGAGCGAGAGAAGTGGGAGAGGACAGACGTACCCGCCCATTTCGAGACTCGAGTTTTATCCAAGTTTATGCCCGATGAACATGAGCTTGGTGAAGCTGGCAGTACGTCAGATGAAGAGCAACAAAAGGATACGACAAGTCGTGGTCGAAGATATTTGGTCCTCCCGGAAGACCGTGGTTCATTTTTGGTGGTCCCAGCAGGCCTTGGGATCCTTGAGCTCATCGCAGTGTATCTAGATGTAGCTCGGGCTCTCCCACAATTGGCCACTGATGCTGCAGTCCGGCTAACGTCCATGTTGCGACTGGCTAATGGACAGATCGAGAAGCTGTTGCTAGAGGGGCAAGCGGTGTCTTCAGGGTCGAGGAAAACGGTAACTGCGACGAATCTGGCTTTGACCTATCAGACGATTGATATGTTGTCTAGTGTTTTACCATTGATAGCAAATACACTGGAGTCTATTGCGGGGAAGTTGGAGAGCGGCCCGGGGATACGCATTGTTTTGGAAGATCTACTGTATCGGTTGAAGGCAGAGATGTCCGAGCATAAGGGCAACTTGACAAGGAAGCTCGGGGATATATTGGTCGAGAGGTTTGATCATCACTGCGCGAAGTGGTTGTCGGTAGGGAGGGCGAGTCGATCTGGTGGGGGGAAGGCAGGACCCAATGAGAACGTGGTGAAGATAGCGAATGATGTGAGCAATATGCATAGGGTCTTGATGAAGTCCCTCTCGCCCAAGTGTGTCGAACTTATCTTCTCTCGAGTCTTTGTCGACTATGGGTCTCGTTTTGAAGCCCGGCTTCTGAAGGAGAAGAGTAAGGTTGATGATACTGCTGTGCTGGAAGCCTGGCGGACCAGCATTCTTGCTGACCTGAGCCACTTGATGCTAAAACTACGACCGATAGGAGACATCAGGACTAGGATGGAAGCGAGTGTGAAGGAGATGCTCAGTATCACTGATAGGTAGGGTAGCCACCCTGGTTGGAGTGCCTTAGTGTTGACTTCAGAATACTTCCACCTAAATATGGCGAAGCTCATTCGGAGGAACTGCTGCAGTTGTTGAACCAGACTGATGATGGGCCTAAATCGACGAGTAGCGAAGAAGAAGAAAAGAGCCCCGAGACGGCACCCAAGAGCAACGTCGCTGAAGATGCCCCTTCACCTGCACAATAGTTGTAGTCGGCCTTGCCGAGGTTATCGACCTTTTTACCGCCTGCTACGTGGCGATGCAACATTGATCTACCATTGAAGTAGCGTGTTCTACATTACCTTCCAATAGTGGTCTGTTCGACAGTGTCAATTGTCATGGTATAAGGCGGGCCTCTTCTGTGGGTGATAGTCTTGTGGTATTCAATCAATCTGCATATCTCCCTCCCACTCCCAAGTAACACACGAATGTTGGGGATACCTCTCTTTGGTGTATGGATCAAGCCCCTGTCGTCTTGTCGGGTCCTCCCATACCCGTTATTAGCATACATCCTCACATCTCTGTGTAGACATGCAATATAGTATCGGTCCATATCAATTGGAACCAATAACAACTAACATCAGAAAGGGAAATGTATGCTCTAACTTGGGAGATGCAGCTGAAAGAACAGCTGCCTACAGGGCTGAGGTTATCCTTATGAGCTCCGTAATACCATCACACTCATCATTATAAGATCATGATACTGATCTCGGACCAGGTCGGATGCTAACTTAGCATGTCGCCCTCATAATGACGATCCAACAAAGGAGTCTCACGCTGTAATGTCATGACAACTCCGATACCTTCGATAAGGCACATAGAGTTTCCATATTACATTCTACTGTCGAATATCATATCTCTCCCTGTTATAGGGATTTAGAGCAACTGCTTGCGATCCCTTGCGATCTCGGAAATGTGATCGCGTTCGGCAAGTCGCTGAATATTGTAAATTCCGCCATAAAGGATTTGAGTAACACAATGCTTGGCGGAGTAGACCTACGATTCGGCGGCTCTGCATCGGGGCCTAGGGAGGGAGGCGACGAGGAGTTGTTGTTGAGAAGGGATGAACAACAGAGTGTGACTGTACGACCTGAGATGGGCTTCGTCGTGAAGACGCGCGATTACAAGACGCGGGAAAAGATCTTTATTAACCTCACGAGCTCTAAGTAGGTGCATGTTCAAAGGCATGCGATTTCCCCATTGGCCACGACTTCGACATAGTAGCCCATCGGCGGCGTGTGGGGAGACACTGGTCGGTTCAGATACGTCGAGGCACCCCATGTGAAGGCCTTTCTGGACCAGACTGAACAGCAAGGTATCAGAGTCCCTATGAGTATTGGTGAGAAGCGTGATGATGCTGATCGGAAGGGAGGACGCTGCATCGTGTGAGTGTATTACTCCATCGCATCACTAGGGCTCTCTCTATACAAATAGTGGGAGTATATAAGCTGCGATCTCTGTACTGCAGAGTTAGACAAGTCCCATTGATAAGACACCACACTCTTTTGTGGGGACATAATCGCCATATGCCGTCGGTGTCTCTCCTGTATGCGAATACAGAACCCCACCGACTCTCGTGCACATTCCCATCGCCAGTATTGTGGTCGTTACTGCTTTTCATGGGCTGTCAACGACTCAGGATCGATGTCGTCTTCAACCCAGAGGTGTTGACCAAAGCAATGGACACTACGGACGGGGGAGAATACAAGTAGGTTGTAGTGTCGACCACCACCGTCACGACGCCATGATGGATTCAGACGGACTATATGCCATTTGGCTTTGTCCGGAGTGGGCCGTAAGTACGGCATGGATTCCCTCGACTTGGATAACTTCGTCACGCCTAAGATGAGATATAAAGGTGAGGAGGAAAAGGAGGAGGAGGAGGAGGAGGAGGAGGTCACTGAGCTTTAGCTTATCAGTGGACACCAATGGATAACACTACCCAATGTCTACGCATCATTCCGGTTCTACTACTACGCTTACTATCACAATCTTGTCTATTCTCGAGGAGTTGCTTCAAACTGTCGGTTCATTATCAGGTACCATAATCCCCCAACAGCGCATTAGAGTGAAGAAAGAGTCAGCCATAACGGAGGTTGATTCTAAACCACATAATAATGAGTCGAACTCGGATGTGGTAGCTCAGCAGCAACACCTGCAGCTGCCTTTGCCTGAGTTCACCATCTTCTATCGCAATATCTATACAGGGTGAGTCGGTTCCCGTCACACGCCACGAAATTGAAGAGGAGGGGGCTATGTTTTCCCTGGTGACTAGGGTATGCTTTGACGGGTTTGACTTGGCCATCTATCGTTCTGGACGGAAATCCCTTCGAGATAATCTGAGAAGGAGGCTGTTCAAGAAGGATGTTGAAGAGGATACATACGAGTACGCTTTATTGGGGCTCAACATTGTGAGGTATATCTACAGGCTGCCTCTATCGGTATTAGAAGGAGGCGTGGCAGACTCGGATGCCAGCAGCTTTGCTGGCAGCCTTGGAGGGTCCTCGTTAGCTGTACCGGTTGATGACCCTCTGCAACCCCTTAGAGGGTCCATCTGTGAGATCAGGGTAAGGGGGATTACGCAACTTACGGAGGAGTCACCATGGCAGGTGACACTGACGGGGGTTCTAGCAGCCTCCCATATAGAGGTGGAAGCCTCTGACAAATGTGTGCGTATTCGTCATGAGCCCCCCTTTGAGGGACATCGGAAGTATCGCCCTTTGATCATCTGGTTCCCCACACCCTTCTTGGGAGGAGTACAGAAGTGTGAGTTCGACGGCAAGATGCTGAACGTAAGCTATCACCGTTAATGTTAGTATTTAATACTTTGATAAGGAAGGGCAAAGGCCTGTCATAGTTTATAGGCAGCTTTGGTACTTAGTTGTCCACCCAGCGTGGTGGGCAGTTATCTGTTCTACATCAGATCGATATTGCTGTTGACAAGATGCAGCCGGAGACCATCTTGGAATGTGATACTGAGGAGGAAGAAGGAGATACCCTGAAGGCCTCTGCTGCATGCGAAGATGACTCGTTGGTCTAGTCCTGTGGTCCCCTATGTGTTGAATCTCAGCTGTGTTGTGCTAGAGGGAGCCTATGGGGGCGGGTATTGGTATCAGTTGGTGGATGAGCGCATTGTCCTCCTTACCTCCTCTCTCGGCCTCTGTCGGTGCTGATCCTGGCCCAACTACTGCTACGGAGGCATTCAAGTTTACATTCAGAGACAAGAAGGGAAAGCTGAAATGGCGGCAGGTGAGTGGGGGCTCGTGTGTCGAGTAAGCAATATGGGTTCGGCTCTCCCCACTAACGGAAGGATTGTTGTTGTTGTCCCACTGAGGGGTCAGGTTTGCCGGCCGGATGTGGTGGAGAGTATCGTCTCAAAGGGCGATGTTGGCCGCCTTCAGGAGGTCCTCGAGGAGGTTGCCTTTGCTAGTGTGAGGGATACCTCTAGTTCATAACCCTGCCACGTCGCTCCACGCAGGTCTCCTCTGACGACCTTCAGACGGTAGCTGACGAACAAATACTGGTGTTGATTAACCTCCTCCAACTCGGTCTGGAGTTCACCCTTTCGATGTATAGTCAGAGCTATCACATCACGGAACAGCTCATGGGGAGGGTTGCTGAGCTCACTGCTACGAAGAAGAAGTTGAAACACAGACTTATCGCTGTAGCCAGCGAGGGAGGTTCTGTTCATCACCCGAGAGGGATCCCTTGTGGCGACTGCGAGAAAAGGTTTGAGGACGGTCACTTCCTAACGGAACACGTCAAGAGGCGTCACGCCCTCACAAACACGATCGTCCATGAGGCGGAGAAGGAGAATGCGATGATGTAAGTCTTCGGGTTCACTCCTCGTTGGAGTTCTCGTTATTAGGCCCATGCAACAGCAGGCTGTGGGAGAGGAGCTACTACGTCGCTACTTGGCAGAGTTAAGCACTAAGGTTGACCAGTTGGTTGCCCAACGGGAGGCAGCTTACCCTCGGGTGCTGTTCGTGCTGGCTTCACTGTTGGCAGTAATGCTTTAGGAAGCGCAGATGCCTGCAGCCCCCGTCTTGTCCGAGTCAGTTGTGGAACGGCTGAAGACTGAATCCCGCCTTCAAACGGCCTCCCTTCGAGAGGATATCGAGGTGTGCATCAAAGAGGTGGGATAGAGAAGGTCTTGTTGGTTTCTCGATGGTGTAAGACGCCTCCCTCAGATGGTGTCAGAGAAGATGCAGCGGAGTTTGGGTGAGCTCGCTGATGAGATAGACCGGAAGTTGGGGACGTTGGATGAGAAGTATCCTCCGCACTGCCTTACAACGACTATGACTTGTCGTTAGGCAGAAGACGGCGACCCAGCGTCATGAGGAATGGATTGCCTCGAATCTCCAACGTGCGGTATCTCGTGCGGTGAGCTTGGTACCGATACCAACAAGTGGGGAAGGACCTCCTGCCACGTACGCTGGGGAGTTGGAGGATGATTATGATGACGGGGAGGGTGACTCAAAAAGAGGCATCAACGAGGCGATAGCTAGTAGTGATGAGGTCGACGCGAGCCAGGAGGCCGGTTACCTTGAAAATGAGATAGCAGAACTGAGGCGGCGGAGGGAGGAGGAGGGATTGGCCCGAAGGATGAGTATTGAGAGGAGGGAGAACATCATAGCAGAGATGCATGACATGTTCAAGTCTGTGGTCACTGATTCGGTGATGGGGAAGATGCTGTTGGAGAACCCTACCCCTAAGCTGACAGTAGAGGCTGCTTGTCAGCCGTCACCTGAGGGGAGTATGGTAGTACCTGGTGTTACTGAGGTACAGCTGGCCCGAGTAGGGGAGACTACTGTTCAGAATGGTAGAGGGGAGGTTGGGGAGTCGCTGTTGGTAGTGGAGGAGGAAGAGGTTGATGAAGGGGAGGAGAGAGTGGTTGAGACTACGATGCGGGGGACCTCGGGAGGGTCTCCATACTCATCCTTATTGGTGGATACGCCTCTGGTGGTCGGAGGGGACGAGACCCGGGAGTCTGAACGAGGCAGTCTTCGGGAATCCCCGGAGGTGTCGGTAGAGGATTCCGAAGGAGGTGGTTCAATTACATCGACTAGGGTTCAATCCGCGGTCACGGCACTGCGTCCCACCTCAGAGCTTCGGTCCTTCGTGGAGTCTCTCCCTACTAGTCAGAGGGCTGGGCTGCTCATCCAAGGGGCGATGGAAGGTATTGTGAGGAGGAGTGCCGGCGCCGGCGTTCCTCCCCAGCACGGTATCATGACCAGCCCGAGAGTAGCAGTAGTCGAGGAGTTACTCACTGCCAGCCTTACCTCCCTCTTCCTAGGGCGGTCCACAGAAGGCCATCAGGAGGGAGGGGAGGAGATTAGGGTTGATGCAGCGCACAGTGTAGGTGAAGAGGGAGAGATGGTAAGGGAAGTGGAGGCGGAGGTCGTTAATAGTAATCAGGAGGAAGGAGAAGATAGCGTTATTGAGGTCATGCCGATGTCTCCACCGAGGTCGGACGAGGAATCCGAAGTTCTACCGATCCATCACGTTGTTGCTGAGAGGAGCCTCCCTAGTAGAAGGGTAGAAGCCGTTGAAGTGAACAATTCTGTAGAGTCGTTGCCTGGACTATATCGTAGGGTATCAAGGAGTGAGGCTTTAGAGGTATCATTGGAGTCTGTACACCTGGGTGGGGAGGCAGTAAGCAGTAGACAGTGGGTAGGCACACCAGAAGACCTCAGTATGAACGAAGAGGATGAGGCCTCGTCAGGGGTATCGGTGTAGATAGCATGATGACCATCATAATGCAGCAACATTTCTTCCCCTTCGAGACTCGTGTTCACCATGTCATATAACAGCTCGCACATGGGCTGGAATATAACCCTATTGACTGTATGTTAATACCGTGTAAGATTCCACTTGACTCTAAGACTTCACTCCCTTGTTGACTCGTGAGGTTGTATAATAATAGGAGTCGTTCCAGAGACAGGCATTCAGGTGACCTCTTATATGCCTGTGAATCACCGTGTTGAATAATAATACCAATCCCGGTTCGATGAATCAGATGAGGTGTTGGACTATCGCCTACCTCTCGGTGAAACGGTTTTCTACGCAGCCAAAACCGGAACGTAAAACGAGCAGCTTGAAAATGATATTCACATTCCCGTATTTTATGGCTGTCGTCCTACGGGCATCCGGCTCCTCCACGCAATCTGCTGAAGCACCCATATCAGTACGGTCAATAGTGGCCTCTAGTACCTCAGAAATAACCTTCACATGGGAGGCACCATTGCAGTTGAACGACTGTATCTTCTCTGCCTGGTCAGTGACCTTGGATGAGGCCTCTGCAGATGGGGAACCTCTAGGCCAAGCTTTCATCCCATCGGGGTGTGAAACCTTGACGAGCATCTGCGACCGCAAATGCACAGCGACTAATCTCTGGTCGTTCACACACTACATCGCCTACGTTAGTATTGAGTGTGAGAACACCGAGGCGAACAGTGCTGCGAGCAACTCTTCTACCATATCGGTAGCCTATAACTTCTTGGCTCGAAGTCCGTGGGACCTCCCAGAAGATCCTCCCTCTAGTACCTATGTCGTTGTTGGCGCTACAACCAAACCGGCCAGGGTTGGTCCCCCGACTAGCATCACCACCTCGAGGCTCCATGGTAGCGACGTGCTTGTGAGATGGACCCCTAGTAACAGATCAGCTAGCAACTGTGATTTCCACTCGTGGCTGGTCGTAGCCTTTTACGGCTCGCGAGAGGTCGCATCGTCCCCCGGCTGCACGGTGGAGGAGTTGCCAATATACGACAGGTCTCGTACGGAATGCACAGTCGTGATTGAGCAATGCAACAGTGTGGTCGAATTCGTGGTTCGAGAGCTGTGCATCCTTGCAGACGCCGATTCTCTTCCTTCGAGGAGATCATTCCCTCTGCGAATTGAAGATACCACCGACTGTCTGGAGAGGGTTGATCCTCCCACTTCGGTGGCCGCAACGACCCCTACTGTTACGACACTACGCTTGACGTGGGTCGGAAGTCATTACGGATGCTTTCCAGGAGGGCTGCCCACTACACAACGTAACCTTCTACGCTTTTGGCAAATACGAGGGAGGCGCATTGGCTCCGCCTCGTATGAAGCTGTCGCCTGCCGCGATGATAACGACCATATACATTTGGAGGATATAATAATACCGAGCACGAGGGCGAACTCATACTCTTGTACGGTCATCGACCTTAATGCTGATACTCGTTATTCCTTCGTAGTGAAGGAGTTATGTGCTGATGCGGCCGAAAGAGCTGATAGCGTCCTCAGTGAACCGTCGATGCCCCTCGCGACGCTGCCGGTCTTACGAACGAAATGGAGGGTAGAAATCGGCCCTCCTCTGGGGAGCGACCGGAAAGCGGAGATTTCGATACGCAGCTTGATCGTCTTCATCGACGCCAACTGCACGTCGGTCGAGCGCAACATCACTGGTATTGCTACTGGCATAGTGGAGGGGTATGTTGAGATCAAATTCGATACACCTACCAACATAACCTGTGTGAGAGTTGAACACAATGCCAAGGAGGACTTCAGCGTTTCATTGAAGTATTTCGACCCACCCATTGGGCAGTTTGCAGTGCACTATGTATTCAACAACCTTCAAGGAGGAGGAACTGCACCCGATTGGAAAATGACCGATAAGTTGCCGTATCCAGTCTGTAGCAGCGCTGAGGCTGTCTGTTCCACGTACATGAAATGTACAATAAGAGGACCGCAGTGCTCTTGGCAGCATCAAGGGGACCGCATCATCCCTCTCGCCTTATCCGCATTCTCTCGAAATCCACCGCACTTGTGCCATGAGGATCTCATTATGCGTGCAAAGGCAACCGTCACAGGATTTCCCGCGCCCTCCAAAGATGATACAGAGGACTCGGCACTACTTGGGGTCAGTCGAGCGGGCAACATCACTTCCGACGGCCAACTCATTTTCGGCTTTGGTGATACCCCCATCACTGCTAAGCCGGGACTTTATCAACTGTGTAAATGCGATATGAAGTCGGGTCCGAACGGTTGCCCCATTACCATAAAGGGCTTGCTAAGAGAGGGTTGGCCCAGGAATCCGTATATGATCCCTGCTGGCGCTCTGGTAGTCAACGGGCCCCTTGCACGGTCTAGGGTGTTCACCGTCATCAGAGGGCAGCGATTTAAGATTGAGCTTTTGGGTTACGGACTGTCTCCTGACGACCGAGTAAGGTCATCATCTCGCCTGTCATGATCATCCCTTATGGCAGATTTTGGTAGCGACCGACGAGTGCGGTTTGGGTGTTGCGGTCAGAGCCTTCTCCGATTCTGATAGCATTGGGGAGCCTCACAACACCTCTTTGGTCGATACAGAGGGCTCCTCCTACCAGCAGAGACAAGAGTACTACTGGCCTGGCCGTGTACAGTCTTACCCTGGCGCCTACCAACTGGTAACTCCGCAGGACCAGTCAAGACTTATTGTTGGGCTCTCAGTGTTATTGCTCACCGCTGCATTCGGGTACGCTGTGCCGACATCCTCATGATTTCACAGTCCCAGTTGTTGTTGTCGTCGAAAGAGAGACCTCCCTCGACGGGCCGTCTGTGAAGGCCATAGTGGAGGTCGTCGGACCCTGTGAGAGAGGGAGAGAGGGTTTGGTGTTACTGCTGCGCATCAGACCCCGACCACCGAATATCCATCGTCAAGGGACAGCCGCTGTCTTTGGAAGGGATAGGAGGTCAGGGCCTCTCTCAAGCAGCCGACCACGTCCTCATCGACACGATCTGCGGCCACGATGGCAGCCCGGCGATCCGAGGTTGCGTACAATGATAGGGGTATTATGGACAGAATACTATCTCAGGTCTGCCTAATGCTGGCCGATCCATTGCCGCGTCCAATAATGGAAGTGCCTTCATATTCGATCCTATACTGGCAGTTACTGCCGAGGTCGGGTCGTACGCTCTATGTTGGTGTCGAGAGGTTAATCCTCCCTCCTGCATGACCAACGGGGACTTTGCAGCAGTCCTTGGCCGGCTGGCCATCATTGGACCCGATGCTCGTCTCAATGAGGACCACTTTGGCTACCGCGGCCGGAGTCTTTTTATCGACCTGAGGGGCCAAGGACTCCACCCGGATGGCAGTGACAGCATTTTGTTCAGACCAGATGATAAGGATTATGAAGGATGTCTACGTGGTATGGCCGTAGGGAGGTCGTTGGTGATTCTCAGCAGTGGTCGTGATAGGCACAGATGTCAACGTCCAAACAGGATTCGCCCCTATAGGGTATACATTGAGGTCTCTGCCGTATGCTGACCAACAGAAGGTCATCCGGACTGACATCGAGGTGAGCTGGTGGTAGAGGGCTTTACTACTAAGGACACATGTGCTAGGTATTCTACCACGGCTTCATTGAAGCATCGCCAGGCACTTACCATATGTGCTGGTCAACAACTACGACAATGGACCGGCTTCTGAATCAAGGAGCTGCATCGCCTTCGAATATGCTCATGTCAAGATTCTATCGAGCTGGTCGGGACGGTTCAGATCTCAGATAGAGTGATACCACTATGTCAGATGCTGGCACCTTCAAGGTCCGAGGACCGTATCCAAATCAGGTCGTTGCGTGTGCATATGGCAGCGACGAATGCCTCATTGAATCCTTACGAGGTAGGCATAGAGTCTCCGAACTTCTTCAAAGCTCTCGCTCGCGTGAGGTCAGTCACCCTCTGTGGTGATCACTGTAGGTATCGATCTCAATGAGGGTGATAGGATCAGAGTTATCAGCCGTTATGGCACTACCAATGCTGCTCGAGATCTTCCTGAGGGATACAGTGCCTGTCCTGGAAGCCCGGATACGGGTGGGTACCCGTCCACTCCCGTCTAGTAAGCGTCGTCGTCTACAGGGAGTGTCCTCTATGGAACCAGTGGGGATTGGTATTCGATACCAGAGGTGTTGGCTTCGTCCCATCTAGCCGCTAAGGGAGGGGTCAGCATACGTTGGAGCTCGCCAAACGAGGATGCTCTCATGGCCATAGTCGATGAGTACACCATGTGTTGGTCAGTGAGGGTCCCACCAAACTATCGAAGTCTTGTCGTAAAGGTGTTCGTCCTATCCTCCTCCAGATGGGAGGCCTTCATGCAGTCTAGTGACGGACTACCGAGCTGTTGCCGGCACATTGATAGTAGCCGAGCCGTTGGGATGCAACGAGCAGGACGAACATGATGATGATTGTTCTCTAAAAATTCCACGTTCGCTGGTCACGGCCGAGGGCTTGGCGATACTTAGGATTGAGTAAGCTCTTTCGAAGCACCAGTGAGTTCCATCGAACCATCGTAGTTCTTGTCTATCTTAGCTCCTTGGACTGTGGTGACTTCACCGTCGAAGATGAAGAGAACGTGCTTGGCATCCTACAGACATCTCAGATGAGGGCAGAGGCTTCCTCGACCAATACCCTATCCTTCACATGGCGAAATGCTTTTCTCTCGTCGGCCGGTGATCTGAATGCTTCCAGCCTTACCAAAGGGACTTTCAAGCTCTGCCAGATAGTCGATGGTGTTCTTCGGGAGCTTACTGTCGTCTATGGCCGGATGAGTCCCATCGGGAAAATGACGTTCGGTTACGGAGGACAGCCTATGATGGCCTCGCCGATCCCTCAAGAGCTCAGAGTCTTCACCCTCTGCCCCCAATCCAGCCGTTGGGACCGATCTACTAGGACTTGTGACTGTCAGCCGGGTTACTATCCCCTGCCAGAGGCTTCCTCAAGCAGGCCTGCAGACCACGTATGTGAGCCTTGTCCAGTCGGATTCTATTGCCCAGGGAAAGGGAGGAAGCTGCTCTGTGCAGCCGGCTTCACAACTGATGGGAAGGGAACACGCAACATCGAGGGCTGTATGTGCTCCCCTGGGCGGTTCCTCGATGGAGACACTTCGACGTGTCGACCTTGTCCTAGGGGTTCCTATAAGACGGAGGTGGCCAACCTGACAACGTGCCCTCGTGGGTGCTTCAATGCCCGAGGCCTCGTCGAACCTATCCCGGGGGCGACATCTGATCTCGGGGGTACAGGCCCTTTAGACTGTCGATGCGAGGAAGGGTACATCCTCAGCTATGCAGGAGGCCGAGAGGTCGACCTCAAGGAAGAGCCTCTTACCTGCATCAGTTGTCCATTAGGTATGATCTGCCGGAGTGGTGGTGGTACGTCACTAGTGATACTGACGCGGTATGATCTCTGCTGCTAGGTACGATGGAAGCTAGGATCCCTATGACTGTCAGCTATCTACTCTCTGGAATGGATGACCCCGATGTTCGCTCCGTCTTCTGGTCTCGTATACCCCAATGATACTTTGATCAGGTGATTGGTAACAGCGATGGCACCAGCATGGCCTCTGGAAGGGTTATGAGCGTCTTGTCCGATCTGTTGTGCCGGCTGCCTCCTGCAGTGCGAGATGTTGAAGGCAACACGTGCATCGTGGAGGGAGTGTCGGCTGCATTGCCACGTCGCCTCTTGGCTATCGATACTGCACTGGATGACCGTCGCCGGCTCCAGCTTGACGAGGCTGTGACGGGCGTTGAGATCACCGCAAGGGTTGGTGCTTCGACTTCAGCTTCTGTTCCAAAGCCTATCGATGCAGATGGTTGTATCAGCTAGGGCGGCAGCGGCCGTCGAGGCAGCCTCTGTCGGCGAAGTTGAGGAGATAGTAGGGAGGCTACGAGAAGCTCCGGAAGAGGTCTTCGAAGGTCTTGAGGGCATAACAGTGAGGGAGTACTTCCCGTAATACATGATGTTCCCATGCTTGTAGCATCTACCCTTCATTGCCGGAACCAACTCAAGTATCGAGGAGGCATCAGCACAGCTATTCGAGTGGTTTCCAGCAGTTGAGGCCGGAGGTCTGCTAACCTCATGTCCACTGGGGAGTCTTGTACCTGTTGGGGTAACTGCAACATCAGTAGAGGTAGACAATGAGTCTAACAAGGGCGTAGACTTCTCATACTCTCAGGATTGCGTATGTGGTCCTGGTTGGGCACCGCTGGGGTTGACCTCCACCTCTCTGTGTGAACGCTGTGGCTTTAATTCTTATAAGGCCGGAGTGTTCAATACACCAAACAACACCTGTACGCCTTGCAGTGTTATCAGCAAGAGGATGGTCACTCGTATTGATACGGCGCCTGCACCAGGCTACTGTGTATGCCGTCCTGGATACTATTGGGACTCGGATCGTGCTGCTTGCACTCCGTGTCCACAAGGAAGCATCTGCACGTAAGTTCGAGACTAGGCTACGGTCACAACGGTCCTTTCCAGCGAGCACCCGCTCAACGCTAACCCTCCCCCGCTGGCAATACGTGTGCTAGCTCGTTGGTACGGGCCTACTCTCGATCACCAGTGGCATCAGGAGATATCGCGGCACCCGACTAGAATACCGTGCCCTTCTGGAATGACTAGTCTCGGTACCATCGAGGACCGTGGTGGTGATGGTGATCCTGTGAGAACGTTGTTGCCGAGGTTTGCTGTGAAGTCACCTTGGCAGGCACAAGTATATACGACAAGTGATGCTTCCATGCTTGAATCATGTGAATGTGCCCCTGGGCGTAAGGAGGTTCCTGTGGAAGCAGTGCTATTGGAGGGAGGGCAACGGAAGAGCAGTAAATATTACAAGTTGAGGGTAGGGGGTCCGCTCCGTCTTCCGACACGGGAAGCTTCTCATAGGTAGTCACGGGTAACGGAAGAGATGTAGCGACTTACGTTAGGGAGGCTACCGTACAGCTCCTATCGACTGAGATGTGTAGTGGCCACTCCTCCTCCGACGGCACAGCACTGCTTCTGGTAGAGGCGTTCGTACAGTATTCTGATGACGTCAGTGCTACCATCGTGTGGACCTTATCTGGCTCGGGGTCTTCCGTGGGCTGTGTTAGGTGGACCGAACTGTCCTCGGAGGCCCTTTGGGAGATGGATCGATATCTAGCCCTTGGTGGGCTCAAGGCTATATAGAGCTCCTCGGTTGGACTCCATATTACTGTAAGACATCCATCACTCCCTGTGCGTACGACTGGTCGACTATGGGTCTGTGGACATATGACAGAGTTAAGGATGCCCTAGGGAGAGCAACCTCGGTTAGTGACCTTCGACTCCCGCTTCTACTACATCTCGGCTCGGGTGTATATAACGAGACGTCGGCAAATGGCACTTTTGATGCTCGGATGGGAGGGGAGAGGGTGGCAGCTGTTGTGGTCAACAGTAGGAGTAGAGTCTGTGAGAAGTGCGGAAGTGGTAAGATCAAGCTTGATATCGGCAACACCGAAACGTGTATAGAATCGTGCCCACTTAATAGTGAATCGAATCCAGGGGCTATATCTGGGAAGGACTGTTATTGCTCACGGGGGAGCTATAGGGACGTTGTAACGGAGATGTTACTTACTGGTGACTACACCGAGAGATCAACGCTTGTTTGCAAGCCTTGTTCGAGCCTTGTACCAGGGAGGCCTGAGGTAGCCGAGTGCCCTGGTCAGGAGCTCCCAATATCTATGTCGGACTACTACATAGTCCCTCAACGAGTGGCTAGTGGCGGAATCTTCGGCGCTAAGAAAACAACTCCTTACGGTTTGGACAACACCATCGCGCGGCGATATCGAAGTCCCGTGGTGGAAGCATGCGTGGTGGAGGAGGATTCGGAGATCCCCTCAATATCGCCTCCCACGACCTGTAAAGCCCATGGGCAATGTCTTGAAGGCATGCGAGGGTTCATGTGTGGGGCGTGCACTAGTGGATATTGGAGAGATGATGTCGAGAAGAGTTGCGAGGCATGCGACACCTCCTGGTGGGCTCAAGCTCTCTACTATCTCAATATACCATGGTCCTTGTTGATTGATAGTGCTCAAGCTGTCATCATTGCTAAGTTCACGGCTGATGCTGCTGATGACGAGAGCCGCCCTATACACTCTGTCATTATCAAGATCCTCGGCAACTACTTTATTGCTATCACCCCACTGGGCCGATTCGACTTCTCAAAGTTGAACCGTTACTCGAGAAACCCAGGCATGTCGACTGAGGTGAACATACCAACCTGGAGTCGGTCATTCTTCCGTAAGCTGATCGCTATAAAGGACATTGTGCCCGAGATAAAAGTAGAGAGCTCTATAATGTGCATCTTCCCAGAGGCTCCTCGACAACATATAGTTGAAGCTTCTCTCTGGCTGATATCACCGCTTTTTAAGATTATTTTCCTCACCATAGTTTGTGGTATTTTGATATCGATGAGGAAGCATCTTTGGAGCATCTTTATGTTTATCAGAGGACTTCGTGTGAAGCGAGATAGAACGATCAAGATCGTTTCCAGGAAGATCCGTCGAGGCCTTACGCATCGCAGGTCTTCCACTTCAAGCTTTAGTACCCGTCGTTCCTCAACGGCTAGTATAGTACCCGAGAGTCTATACGATATTGATGTCAGTAGTGATGAGAGCAGTATCAATGAGGCCCTACCAGGGAAGGAGGAGGAGTTAGCAGTATCACCTCTGGGGGAGGGCAGGCAACTTGGGATATGGCGCACTGATTACCCGATCAAAGCCGAATCACGCACTCGTAGAGCAGTCCGTATTCTCTGTGGCTTTTTGAGTGACAGCACTCCGGTATACCTCGTTGCTGCATTCTACTCCTGGCAGAAGGTCACGGAGAAGATGCTACTACTGCTACAATGCAACTCATTCGGCGACACTGTACGTGGTGAATATGTGGATAAGCTACGATGGATGACCGATCCTGATGTCATCTGCTTTGATGGCCATCCTCATTCAGCATTGGTCTCTGTAGCTGTATTGGGACTAATTACGTGGACGTTTGGTTTCGTCTTCTTGTCTATGGTATTGTTATTTAACAATCGCAAAGTGCTCATGGAAGACTCCTGTCTACGAAAGTACGGCTTCCTCTATCTCGGATTCGAGATACGTTGCTGGTACTGGGAGAGCGTGAAAAGGGTCCAAGCTTTCTTGTATGGCCTCATAACGTAATATACCCGACCAATGCTCATCTTGATTGCCCTTCATTTAGTAACATATCTCTTGGTGATATGAAGGTAAAGTTGGTATGTTATGCTGTCCTGTCGGGTGTGTCCTGTCTATTACATGTTGCTGTCATGCCTTATGATGATCGAGAGAAGGGCCTTCTGGACGCGCTAGAGGCCAAGTCCCTGTAGGTCCATATTGCCTGTGGTCCCATGACACTATACGCATTCCGAGGTTCTCAATCTTCATCACTCATATCACCATACAGTTGGTCCTCATGTTCGACCTCGCAGATGAAGTGGTGGTCTTCATGATACTACTCTGTGGACTTATGAACGGTGCCTTCATAGTGCACGCAATGTGAGAGGTCGTTGCCTGCGTGGATCGATATCGTGGTAGATACCACTTACTAAAAGAGTATGCGTTCTATTATGTCCGTAACCGGGAGAAACGGGCAGCGGAGCTGGAGGAGGCCAGAAAGGAAAGAACGAGACGGAAGGCCATCAAAGAGGTGGCACATGGTGTCAGTCAAGTATCAAGGATGTCTGTGGAAGCTCAGATCAAGCGTGATCGGAAGATGACCCGCAAACGTCTTGACCGGTTTCTTTCACTTGGTGGGACGTTGGATGAGAGCACAATACGGGACCCACAAGATGACTCAGCGACGTGAGCGAACTCGACGTATGGCCAACGAGAATAGTGAGGAGTATCAGTATCGATGAGGAGGACATCGCGGAGTGGATCAAACAGGGTCGGCAGAGGCGGCTACCCTCTGTAGGAGAAAACAGGCAAGGCAGCAGATGGACGATCTCGTCGTCTCTCGCCACTATCAAGGAGTTCTATGCTCGATACAACCCTATGTGAGTCTTAGTATTATATTACAGTAGAAGGGAACATGATGTCAGAGATGCTGTGATGCGTTATGTAAAACGGCTGGAAGCTATGAAGTCGCGAATAGGACTCCAACTTGAAAGGCCCTCGAATGATATCCCTCCAATTGAGGAAGTGGCGATGGTGACGGCTGTGCTCCTCCCCAGGTATTAGTGATATACCGTTAGGACGTCTTGGAGGCTCTGTTCTCAGGACACCCAGGAGGATGCTCGATAGGATGCTTTATGTTATCTTGGGGCGCCAATCATCTGTGGCAGATTTAGTGGTAACGAACTTCGACAGAGGTGACTGTCAGAGGCTTTTGTCAAACTTGCATCGGCGGCGTTGCAGACTTCTTCTGGATCATACAGTCCTCTACTGCAGCGTATATCACAACATGCTTGGAGAAACAAGATGCTGGGAGACAGGATCGATCAATTCTGATTCGCGATGCGGGCATTTGCGAATTCGCTACGAGGGTGAACCTTCTGCCTCTACCGTCAGCTTTGTGAGGAACTGAATGTCTTGACAATAGGTGTTATTTGCCTATGCCACACGTCTTCGGAAAGAAGATAGACCTCAACTGTGGGAAGTGGATGGTATTGTTGGAATTGAGACAATTCGACTTGTGATGGGACTATGGCAAAGGTCTGCGAGAAGGAGCAACTCTAGATATGATGGTAAAGAAGTCATCACTATTTTAACTTGATACTCCCGACAGACGCCAGGCCATCGCTGACGCCAATCACAGAAGAGGATGGTGACGACGATGATGAGGACGAAGCCAACCGTGGCTCCTCTGCTGGCCGTCTCGAGCTCAGTCTCGGCGAACTTATGCTTCTGCCACTCATTGTGGATGGTGTTGAAGACCGTCAGCAAGTAGAATTCCTACCAAGTGATAGAAGAGGTTCCCCACAGCGCCCTTCATGGAATGAAGACGATCGAACATTTACAGCAGATGAGCTGTACAGGGCTCATTCGATTGTTGTCACGATCAACGCAAGTCGAATGCGAAAAGTAGGCAAAAAGCACGATCGCGAGCCGAGGCTAATGACGTCATCAGATATACAGTCTCTACTGTACATACAGAGCCTATCGAGCGATGGAGGTACACACTGAGAAGAGGACGAGTAGAGGACGAGACGACTCTGGAACCACACGAGCAGAAGGCTCCGAAGCAACGGGCCTCCAGACAAGTACTCTTCGTAGAGTACCCTGCGATTAAACTGCTCACGCGTAAGCGGCCTCCGAAACCGCTACTATCCTTGCTACGTAGGACTGAATGAGCACCATGTTTCATGCTACTGATGCTTCCTCGCAAGAACAGCAGGCTTGCGTTGCAATCCTTCACAACTCAGCTTATTGCCTTCATCTTGACTCAACTCAAGACGAGAATGAGTGCCTCAGTATCGTGATGACCTGATCGTGATATGTGAGTATGTAGCTCGGAGTATCCTAGTCGGAAGGACCCTGTCGGTTGCTTTATGTTTTCAAAATGTGTAAGTTGTAGTTGTAGAATGGGATTTCGATCTTGCGCTCTTATCGCCCCTCATGGTTTCTCCCGGATGATTGGAGACCGGGAGACCATGCGTTCTCTGCAGTTGAAGTAACATTGCAAAGTTGGTACTGCGATTCTGGACTTGGAGATTGTCTAGAGGGTCTCCATAGGATCTGCAAATTTGTTTCCACACCACATCGAAACGATCGATCGGACCTATGATCTGAAACGCATGACACCTTATTGATTCATCGAATAGTCACGGTTGTAGTCACACTCAGACCCCATGGCTGCTGCCACAAACCCTCCGAGAGTCCTATAATAGGCTCTTAGGAGGATAGAGGGTCTCTTGTAGATGTAGAATCGTGGTTCTGTCTATGCCTAGTTTGATCATGAACCCGATTGTATTGCCCAAGGCCGACAGCAGGATCGCCGTTGTCATAGTCAGCAGACTGAACATGATGATGATGATGACAAGGAGAGGGTTCGGTAAGAAGGCTAAGAAGGGACAGCAAGTGGATAAGGAGGAGGAAGTACCACTGAAAGCTATCGTAATATCCTAGCTCCTTAGCAGATCCATCAACACCATCCTAGGGGGAAATATGTGTGATAGACGTCATGATAGCACCATTTGTATTCGAACTCACTTCTCGTATCCCTACTAGCTGTCCACTAGATGCCTGTGTGTACTATAGTCATGATTGTTTCAGCGTCCTGCTGCCCCTGCACCAGTGGCGAGATATGCTGTAGATGTTAGTAAGCTAGAGGGTAGTAGGGCAGTCACACCGAAGGAGATTGGTTTGGTCATGGCCGAGGCAGTGAGTGATGCTACATTGAAGCAGGTCAGGAGAGCATGTCGAGTATGCTGATACCGTCCTGATAGGTCTTATCCCAAGCTGCTGAGGAAGGCAGGACGGATGATGATTTGTTTAAGGCCTTATCCAACGGCAATGTCGATGGTGAGCCGATTGTCCACCCCGGCGTCCAATCTGCGTACAGCTATCATGTTCAGGTCCGGTTGGTCTGAGGTCCTCCCCAATCATACCATCCACGGCTATCGCTATTCTCGAAGCGTGCGCGATAAAACGCGTGCGAAGTTTCCCGGATTTGGCGAGAATTTCTGCGATCTTATTACGGCCAGGGAACCCCAGGATGACGGCGGAGGAGACCACATCGTTATTGAGGCTTTATAGCTTTATGGGGTCTATCAATGAGCCACTTGCTCTGGCTACTGCTAATAGTCTCATACCACTCCTGCCCGAAATGACTTGGAATGATATCACGGCAGTAGCTCGTGATATGGCTCGGCATAGGTAATGATCATGGGTCCGCACATGAAGTGGACCGTCCTCTCTATCGCACGGTATTGGAGTATTCGGAGATCGGTATCCCTTACAGAACTCGGCCAAGTGCCTTCTTCAATATCATTATAGCAAGAGCTATCGCCGAGATGGATTCCATTGACAGTAAGGATATCTTCTCATTATGGCATACCATGTGCTATCTGAGGATACCTTGGAAGATGGAGGAGGTAGTATTCGGTCATTGCCTAGACCTGGCAGTTAAACCATTCCATCACCACGTATTGTTGCTGACCCAACTGTTGTGAGTGTAAGCGTCTGTATTGGTAGGATCGTAAGCGGATGGCTGAGGAGGTCGTTAAACGGTCGTCCATGATGGGAGCTGCTGAGCTGGAGGATATCATCGATGCAGCCTATGCATGCAGTATGATGTCCTTACAGGCATTGAAGGAGGATGGATATCAATCAAGTCTGAATATAGTACTACAAGTACTTGATAACGATTGATGCATTAGGTACTCTAGGGCCACTAGTTAGGGTCATTATCAGTCGGATACAAGATGGTGTACCCGATACGTGGTTTATGGACGACCATCGTTCGGCCCATCGACGGCTACTCCTCATCAGAGCACATTTAAGATACTGTCTACGAGACGACTTGTAGTATAGGGGGTCCACACCGCTGGCTGCTACCCTCCTGAGAATAATCGGTCTTGTGGTATATAGCAGGGGATTCGGTATTAGGTACCTACCCCTGTCTGACGAAGCTAAAACGGTCCTTCGTAGAGTTCATCGAATAGATATGAATGCTGATAGTGTAGTGGAGAAGTATCCGGAAAATGCCCATCCATTGCGGTTGCCCAAGTTTCTAACACAACTTAGTCAGATCTTACGTAGTATAACTGGATGTCGTCTCGTGTGGAGCCGTGGTATTAGGCAAGTTGAAGGTAGCTCATTTCGTTCGTGCTCGACGTGGACCATTCACTTTCGACATTCTGGAGAGGGATAGGAGATTGATCTGGGAGTGCAATAACTTCGATCGATACTATGGGTAATAGATAGGGGTATGGTATCATATAGCTAGGTAGCCCTATATAGATCTTCCTTTGATAAGCTAGCAACACGTCGGCTAGAAGAGCGTATTATCAAAGCCATGGGATACAGGATTGTACAGGTAGTAGAGGGGGGTAGTGTTATGTCGTTAGAGGAGTGGCTAAGGTACCCTTTTGGCATTGGAGACGTGTGACGTTGAAGTCGAGAAGAACTGATATGATTAGGATGAGCAGGTGATATAGAAGTGTTGTGGTGGACGCTAGTGTCCGACCTCAGGTTCATTGCATTGAGAGACTTTAGAGAGCGGCATATGGCAAAGGGGGATGTTGACCAGTATTCGGATCCTACCAAGGTTGGTCCCGGGTTCGAATCCCGGGAGTGGTATTTTATGATATCAGTTCAACGCTAGAGAGTGCGCTCTCGATAGCAACTCCTTCCAGTATATCGGCGAGAACTTCTTTAAAGCACAGAAGCCTAGTAAGGCATGGATGCTGTCAGGGGCGGGTTTAAAGTTACAGAAACTCCCAACAAGGATCACCATGTGATGACGTGACAGATTTGTGGTACTCATGTTTGGCAACGTGTGCGTCTTGTTTCCGATTAATCTTCAACGATGTCGAGTTTGAAGCCTTCAATGGGTGGGAATATTCAAATCTTCCTGACTAGTCTAGCTCACTAGCTTTGCGGTTAGTTTGATATGGCTTTGGTACCAGGAACGACTGAGTGGGAGGATATTCATGTAAGGAGAGGGAGTCTGTATCGTCACGCGCCACGAAATTGTCCCATCTCGGCGCTGCCTGATATTGGAGCTGTTCCTATAGATCGATGGATCATTGAATCTCAATAGTTTGTTATGCCATCTCATCGCAGAGCGTAAGATACTCCGTTATGTTCTTATTCGATGGTTTTAGGTGCGTCTGGGCAACTTCGCCCCCCGACCGCTGGACCCGAGCGGGAATGATATCCAACAAACTGTGGACGAATGTGCTGATGATGAATTAGAGAAAATCAGAGCAAAGCGCTTGGAAGAGTTGAAACGGAATGCGGTGAAGGAAAGAGAGGTGATCGCTGGCTACTGTTACTGTTTTCTACCATCTTCTCTTGAGTCTCATTCATAGTCTCTACTTTGCTTTCTTTGGTCGTCGACGTCGTCGCATTAGTTATTGTTATTCTAGGTCGATACTGGTGGTAAGATAAAGGATATAGCCCGACAGGAGTTCGTTACAGAAGTTAATGAGAGTTCTAAAATGTCTGTAGTGGTGGTACACTTGGCTAACCTTCATGATGCTATGTCCCGGAGACTTGATGAGTCCCTCTCATTCTTGGCTAAGACCAGGAGGACGGTAAAGTTCGTCCGAGGCTTCTACCAAGATTTGATAATCGGCTTCCCGGCTCTGCGGCTGCCAGCGGTTGTTGTTTATTTTGATGGAAAATGTGTAAAACAATTGATCGGTAAAGAAGTGTGGACGAAACGAATTATCGTTAGCCCAACTCTGGTATGGGAGGCGTTAGGGATTAATAAGATTGATCAAGATGAGCAAGAAAACGACTCTTATAGTGATGCTTCTGATGATGAACGGACTCGATTCACAAGGAGGGTTCGAAAGGATGTCGGACGGGAAATCACCGAAAGTAGGCGGAGCGATGCGGCGTCACTTGAGATAACTCGATTCTTGTTCAGGACTAGACCGTCGAGAGCAATCATCCAGAGTAGATGATGATAAGTCTGATGATGATGAGAACGAGAAGGAGTATGCCAATTTGACCTTACAGAATGCTTTCCGTGCTTAGAGGAATTTAGTGGCGCGCGAAATATCAATAAGTATATAATAATTGTTATTGTACATCCGTTTCGGTTATGATAGCGGTCTTGTTCTGTTCATACGAGAGGAATTGTGTACATGTAGTGGAGTCACTGCACTTGCCCTGCGTACATGGCCTTCCTTATGTAGTTGGGATCCAGTTGTGGACAGAACTATACACTTGTCGTTGTTGTAGTCTGTGGCTTATTCCTTCTCAGCATTTCTGGTTAGCCATGTTGAAGTGGAGCATGAATACTGATACTTACCTTCTATCTGATTGGACACGCTTTCCTCTCATTACGTACCATACCTCATTGGAACCGCGAGGTTAAGGGATCGACATGGTTACTATTATGTCTCTGTGGATGGTGGAGCCTTCTGTGTCGGCTTCCCTCGATCACTTGCCCATCTCATACCCTACGGATTAATGAATGCTGCGGGGATCGAACCTGTGCGGGGTGAGTACACCAGTGTGCTCTACGTTGGTAGAAGCAGCAGCCACATTCCGCTATGGGTCACAATTCGGGACTGATATTTTAGGATAGAGAATCTCTATTAGAGATAATTATTTGGCGTGTGAGCAACCGTTTCTTTTACTTAGGTTACTGTCAAGAGATTTGATTGATCACTCAGCTTGAACGATTATACCTGTGTAAAATTGTCACACTAACCGTATTGTCAAGTTGAGATTAGTCTCGTCAATCAGCAGTGAACTGTTTATCATAGTTTGGGAACTCTATCGTATGCCTTCGAGTGAGAGTAAACGTCGACGAACTTCCGAGGGCAGCTGCTGCAAGACACCTTCGTGTGATGAGAGGGAACAAGAACCTCCTGTTCCAGCAACCCCAAGATCAACATGCAAGATACCTTTCCTCACTACTGAGGATATCCTATCACATGGTGCTGTTGTAAATGTTCAAAGTGTTAATTATCCTGACTTAGCTTGGGGTGTAGATCGAACGAAAAAACAATTGAAAATCTTGTCTAGGGTTCGAGGTAAGGGTGTACTCACTTTAAAGGTTGTGAGGAGTACCTCTAACCCTCGAGCTATTGCCTTCCGACTGCTCAATCAAGGGGATATCTACGTGGCCGTCCATAAGGCTGAAGGGCATCTCACTTTAAGAAGGCAGCCCAACCCTAAGAACTTACAACCACAGTGTTGGTTCCTGGTCATGGCTAGAGGCTTTGGTGATCCAGGGTATGTATTGCAGTCCTTGGGAAGTAGTGGTGAACGAGAGTTTGTTCGCCACTGCAACTATTGGCTACAATGTGATGCTCCTCCGGAGCCTCAGTCTAACTCGAGAGCTCTCTATGAAGGGGATACTGCATGGCTATTTGTGAATGCAGAGAGTTGTCGAGATCGGCTTGGTGACTTGTGGATGCATGTGGTAGCACCAAAAGCGTATGAGAAGATAGAGGCTCAGATTGTTAAGTGTCGGGCTGTCCTTGGTGATCATACCGAAGATGCCTGTAGAGAGCTTGAACGGGTGGTAGATGGGTGTGATATTGAGACCTCGGGTTATGAGGCACAAGGTAAGGGGAGGTGGGTAAGGCTGCTGCTGACTGTATTGGGCACCAGGTGCTGGCGCCATGGACGGTGTGGCTGGGGTCATGTTCTCGTCACCATTGAAGGATGAGGAGATATCGGAAGAGTTGATGGAAAGGGTGGGTACAGCAGGACCGTTGAAGAGGAGAGGAGGAATTAAGACGTTCAAGAATATGAATGATATCAATCCTGAGGCGGTAAGAAGAGGGTTGTGTCGGGGATGGAACCCGGGACCAGACATATACTATCTCGGTGAGTTCCCCATTTGACTAAGCTCATTGTATCAATATCTAACACTCCTGGTAGTAGTACCATGAGTGTTCATGCTGCTCGTCACCCAGTTTTTCAGCTAAGATCTCCCTACTAGCATCTAGCCGTGTAAGTGTAGTCTATGACTAGTTAATTTTACAACTCACCGATTGTGTGATAGTCGTTATAGAGCAAACATGTAGGAGCGGGGAGAATCCATTCAACAGGCTTGTTCGGTTCATGCGATTTATACTATGATACAGTCACTGTATATGACCCCAGGGAAGTATTCCACCATAATGAGATCTGTAGGAAGAGGCACGTGAAACAAGACCTCCCGTTCCGAGTGTTGGTACTGCGTTAATTAAATACAGTCTAAAGTCTATCCCAATACTTGCTCGCAATGAGCGAATAAGTATAACTATTCAATGCACAACCAGGATGTTCAGGTACCATTCATACGTGAGATAGATGCTAGAGTCAGACAGCTTCTAGGGGAACGTAACTCCACCCATATTCGTAGGATGGGCCTCGCTAAGGAAGGCCAGTGGAGGCAGAAACTCAAATTATGCTTTATTGAATTCATTCATATGGCGGCAGGCTCTAATGGTATGACAAGGTGAGTATCCTTACCTTAGTCCATCCTTCTATCGGCTCTATTAGGCATCGAGACGGGGGCAATGATAGCGACCTCACAGCATTGTTCTGCATACGAGGAAGCGCTGAATGCACGATTGAAAATGAACAGTTTATTCTTAATGAAGGGGATATGTAGGTCTCGATGTTGGTACATTGAAATCTTCGAATGGTATCAGGTATATCTTTGAACCCCATAAATACTTCCACTCGGTTGGACCCCCAATGCATGGTAATGCTATTATGGATGACGATGATGATCATACTACTTACAGCAGATAAGAGACGACTCGCTGCAGCTTGCCGATACTTCCTAGAGGAGTAAATATCATGATCACTTCTCATTATTCTACTCCGATTGTGTTGATTAGTTAGACGACTAGCCTTTTACTCTGGACATGATTCTTACCTTTTAACAACTGAAGGGAAAACCTAGAACAGCAAATGGCAAACATCTCGTTGAGATCAAGGGTCCTGGAGTAGACTTGCACAATGATGCGTTCTACTCTCCTAGACCCACTGATCTCAAAATAATGGCCCTCGACAACGCAGGTTGTGATAATTGACATAGCCGCTCAACGATATGTATTAGGTCTCGGATGCTTCGATGAACATGGATAACTCGCTTTCTCCATGAATGACAACTGTGATTAACAAAGCCTCACACGTCTCAGCAGCTGTGGAACCCTCAGTTTAGAATCCTCTTGCAACCCGGTCATGCAATCTTTCTAATCGTGAATAGCCTATTGTATAAGGCTAGACTTACTGGCAACACAGAGCTGTGGGGAATCGAGAGAAGTGATGACATATCAGAGTGATACAATTAATCTACTGGATTCTCTCTGTGGCGAATACTCGGCGGGGGAGTGGGAACATTACTCATCATTGCCGCAGGAGATCGGAGATGCTCTGGCTTGGGAGGAGCTCTGTCGTAGTAGAAACCAGGTATACGGATGATATCCGAATAAACAGCCTGGCCAAATATCAATAACCCAAACCCAAATAGCTGAAGCCAGGACCACATAGTCCACACCTCTCCAAACACCGACTCAGGGGCTATAGCATGGATGATTAAATCCACTATCCAAATAACTGCTGTTCTCGATGCCTCTAGCATGGTACGATGTACAGCTGATAGGGCAAAGGTGACCAACATACCCGACATGTTATAGGTGAATACTGAGAAAATATAAAGTAGGATGAGCCACTGGAGGCTTGTACTGTTATCGATCATAACCATGGTGTCTATGGGGTTCTCAGCACTTCCAGCATCATTCCCTGGGATGAGGTAGATAATAGGAAAGGCGATAATGAGCATTAAGAGTGTACCCCAGATGCCCTCCATACCAGTGATAAGGAAGGGGGCTATCGTATGATGTCGTAATAGACGCTCTTCTACCACTACTTGAAGAGCTTGAACGATCTGCCCTAGGATTATCATAGCCATACCGAAGGCTCGAAGGCCCGTATCAGTAGGAGAGCTGATGGTAGTAGTACTCTTCATACCAGCAACACCAACAACAATGACCGCTGCGACACAGATGAGTACTCCAAACCAATGATAAAGCCGTAGTTGTCGCTTCAAAAACATAACGGAAAATATGGCCGAGAATATTATCATGGATCCACGTAACATCTGATAGACAGATGCTGAGTTATAGAGCAAACCAAGGAAGCAGAAGACGGTAGCAATGAGGTCTAATGCGGCAGGGAATGCTATCAACCAGGAGGCCTTCTTAAATGATGTCTCAGGGTGTTGGTGATGGGTTAATAGAGGCTGTTGACTCCTCCTCGATGATTGTCGGTTGTAGCAGACCGTGATGAAGTGTATGGCAAGGACTATGCACATACCAAGGAACATAGTGAGGGTGTTAAACCATGGCTTCTTGAAGAACTTGGTATGCCCTTCTATACCAACCGATATTATCTGAAACTGGACCTTACTCATTATAGTATTAAGACATCCAAAAATGAGGAGGCCTAGGATATAGAACGTAGTACGTCCCATTGAGGTATAACAACAACAACTGGAAGACTCAGTATCATCATCATCATCATCATCAAATGGTGGTTGTTAATAACGACCAAGTTGACAGCCTTTTATTTATATTATATGACTGGTATGGATAACATATTCGTCTGCCGTCCACGGCCGTGCACATTGCTGTGTCTTATTCAAAGTCTACCATTTGTGGTATATCTGATTGGAAGCATGAGATATGTATCATGCGTGCTTGTAAACTCTGTGAAGTGATGAGGAAGTGCAAAAAGAGACAAGTGAGCAAGACTCCTGAAATGGCCAATTCAGACCGCAACGACATAGATTCGATAGCGTAGTCGAGTATGTTATTAGTATTTAAGGTCCTATAAGCACTGCGTACATCACTTTATGTGGTATTGTACGATTGTATATCTTGGGTACTACTACTACGAACAGAGTTATTGATAATGTATCTTGTGCCAAACACTTTGAGGGATCCTAGTCGTGATAACTTCATAGATAAGCTTCTTGTCGTCGTGTTATCGACTAGATCGTGTGTATGATGGGATATGCTCCGATGGCTTGGACTACACACACTCGTGACTCATAGTCATCACCATACACCACATTCAACAATGGGGTCATTCTAACAATATTCAAGTACTCCACCATCCGACACAACAGACCTTCCTACACGTATATTTGGATACCCGCAAGTACATGATAATAGCATTGCTCTTCATATACGATCTTCATACCCTACACTGAGTTGAGTATGTTATCATCATTGGGAGTAGGTCTAACTGTAATAGGGATGTAATGAGCCACCCTTGTGGTTACTCTACACAGCGGTGTACTCCTAGTAGTATAAGGCCATTCCTCATGAATTACTGCTGTAGTTGACCTTAATTAATGTCAGGGCGTCTGCTCCCACCACTCAATGTAGTAGCTCCTGCTGCCGGCCTACCTAGCAATAAGGGGGGTATTCAATTCGTCAGAGGTGGGGGTAATGTCTCACTTCCTCCTCCTCCTCCTAGATCACCAGAGGGATCTAATCCAGAAGTAGTACTAGGGTATAGTAATAGTAATAACTCCATCCACCTTGAAGGTAGCTGATGGAGGCATCAGACCACATCGTTGGAGGAGGATACTCAATAACAACCCTGCACACAGAGAGGCTCATGATAATGAGGAGGAGGAGGATGCCACGCTTACCACCATACGAAGACAGGTGGGGTCTTCTGATAACCCTAAGGGTTGTTACTGATGCCTCATCCTTTAGATGGGATATATACTAGACCGTATGGAGAGGCAAGAGGATAGGATAGAGGCTGTTGCTATGAAGATGGACTCTAATAATCAGATTTATACTCGATTATTACGCAAATTACAGAGTCAAATCTCAGTGGTATACCATCTCATAGGGTATGGTGCTCATTCAATGGCCTTTAGATAAATGAACAAGCTCGTGATGAGTTTACGACAATGGCTAGGCAGCTAAGGGGGGCTAGTAAGGCCCAAGTAGACCTCCGCACAAGGGTAGCATCACTAGAGGCAGAAGGGATGTCCGACCATAAGGTAGAGGCTATCGTACACAAGACCATAACGGAACGTAGGCTTGAGTGTAGGTGCTCATGTTAAGTAGTGGTCTGTAGGTGGCCTGATGGTGCTGAATGAGGAGTTACAGGAAGCATTGGCTGAGGTTAAGGAACAACAGAGTCGATTGAGTATAGGCCTATTGGGTGTAGGCGGCAAGGTGGATACTATCACTGAACGAGATGGAGGTATGTCGGTGTTGCTTAGAGGGATGCAATATGGGAAGGAGAGGTAGTGGTGGTCGTCAGGTGATAGTCTAGGGAAGGAGACTGTACTGTCAACAGCGGGCCTTGATGCGGCAATGAGTCGTGTATCTCGGCAGATAGCAGCAGTACAGGAGGCATGCTTTTTTGAGGTGGCTAGGCGACATGATGACATACTTCAATTGGTGAGGTGGATGGGGGGTAGGGATCAGGAGGAGGAGGAGGAAGTGGAGGGCAGATATCATCCATGGAGACTGAGATGACGAGTAAGATCGATAGTGCTCGAGATAGGGCAATAGCCGAGGCTACTAAGGGAAGGGAGGAGGTAGGGGGGGAGGGGGGAGGGGCCCTAGTAGGGTATCATCACTAAAGGATCTACTCTCAGGCTATAAGGATGATCCATGATGACCTCCTCGGCTTTATAAAGAGTCTAATATCAGAACACGAGCATCGAATGGAAGCCTCGGTTAAGGAAGTACGGAATACGGCAGTAACTGATGTGGCCGGCATAAGGAGGTCTTTGATGGATCTAGAGGTAGGCTTATTACTACTATCCATCATTATGCACACATCACCTCATCCTGCTCATCCTTCAGAGTAAGACTAACACGGCTATGGATGACTCAAGGAAGGCCATGAGGTCGGCCAAGCAGGCCTCACATCAGTTGGAGGTGGGCCCTCACTTGGAGGAGGAGAAGAAAGCCAGCAGCATCTGTACATGTCACCTTTAGACTCTAGCAAGGGTTATCGATGCAGAAGTGCAAGGGAGAGGCAGCTTTGATGATAGTGACCGAGCTAGAGTGTTGGAGGCAGACCTCCTCGACAAGATGGCAGCATTTGAGGCCACCGTCCTTGATTCGGTAAAGGGTATTAGAAAGGAAGTAACCGAAGCCCAGCAAGCCTTGACCGATGCTATCACTAAGGAGGCCTCCTCTAGGGCTCAGGAGTGCCATACTCTTGCCGCCCTATTGAGGGATGGTATTAGGAGGGTATCCTCCTCACAGGTAGAGGGGAGGAAGAGGAGGGTTGAAGGGTTAGTCTGCTAGAGGGTTAGGGTAGGTCACTGATGTACATGGATTACAGAAGGAAGTAGAATCCATTAGGAGGAAGGTCCATAGGAAGGCAGCTAATGATGCTGATCGAGCTGATAGGCTTAGCAGGTACTCATCATCATCATGATTATGCTGGTGGTACTCCCCTTGTGTAGGTACATCGATGATAAGGTGAATGGTATGATGACGTCCATGCTGACTAAGGATGGTGCATGGGCTAATACTATTGAGGAACTCCAACAGAGGATAGAGGACGTATCTATTTGTGGGAAGGAGGCTTTAGAGGATCTTAAACAGGAGTTGCGGGAGGTGTGGTATCTGTTAAACGAGGAATAGTCGATCGACACCCTCTGTAGGAGATGGACTCTTTGGGTAGTGGAGGCCAGCAGATGGCCAGGGACCTCGTAGCATCGGAAGCATCTCGATTGGAAGGGATTATAAGGACCCTATCGACCCGTATGGATCGTCGTGGAGTAGCTGATGATAAGAGGTAGTAGTCAGTCTGTTGGCTGTGGGAGTGGTACCGGTGTTGAGGTTAGGTATGCTGAGTGGCAACGGCAATGGGAAGGTAGATGCTCGGGGGTATTGGAGGCGGTGGCCTGTAAGAGGCTTAAGGATCACATCATGGATGACCAGAGAGGATCACTCGATTCCTTGGTACGGGAGTCAGTGATGAGGAGATCCATACCTCGGGAACCTCATGAGGTAACTAAACATCTGTCGATCGAAGCTTACAGAGTGTGATAGAGTCGTCACCGTGGCTATGAAGTCCCACGGCGTCGAGGACAAGGTGGTGTGGTAGGGGAGGCTAACAAGAGGGAGGCTTTCGATGGTAGGCAGGGGGGCCTTGTGTCGAGCTGGATGGGTCTCTGGGTACTCAGATGGGCTGAAGGGTAGGGAAGGGGAGGTGATGGAGGAGGAGGATAGAGCTGCTGCCCTCAAGGGCCTTACCACAGACCTCGATGATCTCCGCTTGGCTGTGGATGGTATGGTTAGGGCCTTCCTAGAGAGTCTTGATGAACAGGTAGGAGTAGAGGGGTGGGGAGTGGTACAGGAGGATCTCTTTACAGGTTACTATGCGGCTGGATGCAAGCCTAAAGGGTAGGAGCATACCTATAGGGGATGAGGGGCAGAGGATGGTGAGTAGTAACAGACTATCCCTTGGGGCCACTAAGGAAGCAATGAGTCCTACTGCTGCTGCTGGTGATGTGATGGGGGAGGAGGACCTAGCCGTCGGAGGTAGGCTGCCCCTCTTGTTGATGTTGTCGAGCCGCCCCGTTGAGGTAGTATGATAGGTGGCAATCGAGATGGAGTAGGGACCTTACATACCCCTACCAAGGATAGGCTAGAGACGATCAAGGAGACTATGCTTGGACGATTGGAGGCTATGGAGGAGGCTACTAGGATGTGAGGAGGCGTTTGAGTGGAAGTATACCCTAGAGAGAGGGGCTCGTTAGGTTGAGGGAGGAGGTCTCAGGGAGGTTGGAGGGGAAGGGTGAATCCACCGATGAGTCGACTCAAACTACTGAAGTAGTTACCACGCCCTCACATGATGCCTTACCCTGTGTCATGGCCAGGTCGTGAAGGCAGCCAAGAGGATATTATCCACCCTTCATACTATAGAGGAGAAGTGCTTAGAGGGCCTGGGGAGAGCAGGAGAAGGAGGAGGGGCATCCTCGAGTGGCGGTCATGTATGATGAACAGACGGGCACTATAGGGTGGGAGATTGATGAGGTTAGGACGTAGGCCTCAAGATGGGTAAGGATGCTACTACCATGGCAGAGGGCATGGATGGGGTCCTCCATATTGAGGATAGGAGGGAGGAGATAGCTGCTAGGTAGGACAGTGGTAGTAAGTTGGACTGACTATCTTGCTATCGCCTTAGATGCTCTGCTATACATCAACAGCTCCATCACCTCATAGCGACGTCGTCGTCGTCGTCTGCTATTCATACACGTCAGATTCATGATGATGATGCCCTATGCCAAAAACCTACCTACCATACTAGTAGGATACAGACCACATCCAGGGGAGAGGTTAGCATGCTGTCTAGGTGATAACACAGCAGAGAAGAGGGATAATGAGAGGAGGCAGTCAGTTGGCATGGATGTACCCTACACGGGCTCGCTCTGCTTAGTAGTGTTGGGTAGGCACGCCCTATAGAGGAGGAGGAGGAGAGGAGGGAGGGAGGGGATACGAGAGGCTTGGAGAGGATCAGGACCGAGGACGACGACGACAATAACGATGACCCGATCATTGAGGTGATCATCATCAAGGTCATGATAACGGTGTAGATAGTGTGGTGACCCTTAGGGGCCGGCGCTAGCGGCGGGGGAGGCAGCAGCTGAAAGCACCGAGCAGCAGCAACTACTACTACAAGAGGTTATAGATGGTATTCATAAGGATATGGACGATCATGTTAGGCAACTACAAGTGACCACTCATACTACTACTACTGTTTATGATAATATCGTGTGTGATTAGGATGATATCAACAAGACTAGGGAAGCCTGTGAGGCTGTAGTATTGGAAGGGTATCCCAGCGGTAGTAGCAGGAGGAAACAGCAGTCTAGGCGTGCATCTCTTACTGGGGCTGTTGCTGCTGAAGGGTTGAAGGTGATGATAACTCCATACTAAAGGGATAGTGCTTCATTATCTATAGAGGATGCTTGACGATCGTACTGCTACTCTACGGCAGAAGAATGCCATAACTACAGAGGAGATACAACACTTGAGGGAGGAACTTGGTAGTAGTAGTAGTAGAAGGGGTAGTAATGGCTAAGTAACCATTGGTGGCAGGTCGTGTATCAGAGTCTTTAAGGACCTCATTACAGGAGGATAGAGAGAGGTTAGTGATGGAGATGGAGGAGAGGTAGATAGGTAGACTCTCCATCTAGAGGGGGAGCTCCTATCTAGATATGCACATATCGCGAGGATGGGTACCACTACAGAGGCATTCAAAGAATCAATGCAGAAGGAATGGAATACAGTGAAGGAGGATCTATCTACAGTAGTGGCTAATACGGTAAGTAGGAGGAGGAGGTGATGCTAGTAGTAGTAGTAGGTTGGTGGCTTTTCAAGTAGGTGAGAGGGCATGTTAAAGACATCGATAACACTATCAATATCTTCCTATCTCAACTAGCTGGGATGGCTGCTCTAGATAATAGCTTACCTCTACAAGAGGAGGACGTCAGTGTAGAGGAGTCAAGTTCCTCACCACTACCGCCGCCGCCCTCCTCCACCGATGTAGTAGCAGCAGTACATGTTGTTCATCATCATCGAGCTGCTGGCAACTCTGAGGCTATGGTTCATGCCAGTACTGACGACCCTCATGGTTACCATGAAGAGGACATTCCACGGGATAACATAATAAAGGATAGTACTCCCATGAAAATGAAGGGAGCAGCAGAGGGTGGTAACGGTAGCAATGCTACTAATGCTACACCCGACGAGTAAAATGTAAAACGAGTAAAAAGACATGAAATGTTTGCTACTGCATGAACTATTTATCGAGTGTCCTTAGAATATTAATGTTGAGTATCTTGGGTAGTGAGTGCATACTGTAGGACACGAAATAACGATGTAGTTGCAAGATAATTCCCTCGAAGACCCCGAGTTGGAGAGTGGCTTGGAACACAACAACGATAGGAAGAACAGAAATATGACTAATTGTGTTGTTGTTGTTGATCAAATAACATCCTCACCTCTTTCAAAGCAACCTTCAAATCCTCAAGTACCGAGAGTAAATTACCTAAGTAGCGAGTGTAAAGCAGCACTGGAGGGCTAACTACTCCGGTCGATCTTCTGAGCATCAGCCATGATACTTATGACAAGTGGAGTATCCGTGGCCTGTAGCAATTGTTTACCATCATCGTAACCAGCAATAACGAAGGAGCATGCACCAAACTCTGGCAGCTTGGTACACTAAGATGATAACATTACGTAGGAATGGTAGTAGGACTAATGACCTGA